GCCAAAGGTACTGTAAGTTTGGCGTCGATCCGTCAAGCGGTTCGGAAGTTATTGCAGAAAAACGGGAGGGGGGGCTATAAATAGCCCCCCCCCCCCAGTGGGGCGCGGGTTAAAGGGGCATGGTCATCTAGGACGGGTAGGAAATGAGTCAGAAAAGCTTGCCATTTGTCATGCACGGTCATTGCAGTGAACACTTCGTCCCACTCGATGGACATCAAGTCATGATTTAGGGACGCGACATCGACACGGTTGATTGAGCGGGTTGTGATGACAGTTGCAGTTTTACGCTGTTTAGGTACGTTAACTAGCACGTTTACGAACTTGTGTGGGCTAAAGTGACAGTGTTTTACATGACAGTCGAGCACGAGCTCACGGGTTTTGACAATACATACGTCAAGGAGTGAGCCGGAGCTGTACGTGGGTGCAGTTACAAGTTGATCGAGAGAGTAGTCCGATAAAAAGTCACTTAGGTGAATACGCGCGCGGAAACTCCGGTGTTTCAGCAAATCGCAGTTTAGGTCGCCGCAGATGACAAACGGAACCTTGGGGTGGTCGATCAGGATCCGTTGCAGCTGAGACTCGAGATCGTTGAAATCAGCGCGTAGGGCAGTGTCCGAGTAGCGGGGCGGTCGGTAGAGCGAGCAGACAATTAGCTGACGATCTTTCTCCAGTTTTAGGAGGATCCACTGGGATTCCAGCTGACTCTCACGGCACGGCGGAACTGTGAGTTTTAGCGCTACAGAGGTGATAGAGTTTTTGGTAGCAATGGCGACTCCACCGTAGCCACTGCCGTCGGGACGATCCGCACGGCTGAGTGAGTACCCGGGTAGCACAACCAGCCGACTGGGCGTGCTGGGTCGCAGCCAGGTCTCGGAGAGTAGGAGAACGTCGAGGTCTTGACTGCTGACCACGTCGGTCAGTTCGAGCAGCTTCGGCTTAAAGGGACCCTCCCACCTTCAAAAAAGTTAATGAATTGGCATGAAAGTGATGTCGCTCGGTTCAGGAAGAGCGAAAACGAATATCTACCAAATTTCATCGAAAAATATTCACCGGTTTTCAAGATATTAGACTTTTACTATTGTTTACTTTCTGGGATCTCCGCTGTTCCTAGCGACTTTATTTGAAAGTGCGGCATTTGTTGCGCGCAAAGCAGCATATACCACCGCGTGCTACCAAACGTTTTAGTAAAAGATTTAAAAATCGTTAGACCTCCGCTGACGTCACAAATTCTAAGGGGGCATACCAATGCATTAGCCCCTTAGAATCCGAAAACTGCAAGTTTGAAATTCCATATCTCCGAATTCAAGCATTTTTCGATGTTGTGAGTGCCCAAACCGGTATTTTCAGGCCATGGCCACCAATTTGGCTATCTCAACTCAAAACTAATGTTAAGGTGGGAGGGTCCCTTTAAGGCTTTGAATGTTGAGCGCGCCGATAAGCAGTCCGGTATTGGACAGACGGTCAGATTGTAGAGTCGCCGCCTCAGTACGACGCGTGCCCCTCCCCCTTCTCCCCCGCGCTCCGCGTCGTTGGGGTCTCCTCCCGCCGCTGCGGGCCGCGGCCGGCGGCCGGCCGGCCGCCGGGGACCGGCCGGGCGGCGAGCTGAGCACACCCCTTCGACCTTGAGAAGGGGCGGGCGTCGCGCCGGCGGACGATTCAGGGGACTCGGCGGAGACGCGTACGGTCGTCCTGGGGGCTCGGGAAGATTTGAAATCTGGCGTCCGTTTGGTGGCCGGATCGGAGGCTGAATTCTGGTCGCGGGTGGTGCTCGGTGATAGGTAACGAGTATCACGAGGGAGCACTGGTTTTCGGCTGCTGACATGGTGTCTTAGCTTTCCGTCGGCTCCTCCATTTGCTGGTCTAGGTAGCGGCGCAGGGGCTGGGCAGGCCACGATAGTAACGACCCGCACAACCGCCAGCAGGGCCAAAAGGCGGGCAATGTCGCGATGCATGATGAAGAAGCGATGTACGCAGAAAAGAACTTGATTCACCAAAATTCGCGGGTTGGCACGGTAGTCGGACCACAATCACACTCACACGCTTGCACGCGAGGGAAAAGGCTAGAGGGGGTAAACGGGGAGGAGCGAGCAGCGCTCGCGACCGCCGACGCGGCGCGCTCAGCTGAACTGTCTGAACTGACTCATGAATCATAAATAGCGACGACGGGCAGTGCAGCAGGACGGAGTTGGTACGGCCGTGTTACATGCGCTGACTGGTTACTTGACGCCCATAATCAGGTGCCAGCTTCATCGATTGTTTATTCTCGGCAACATTATCAAACACCTTGTTCTAAGAGCACTGCTCTTCTTACATATGTGATCTCAGTCGGTAATCGACCCGTCCCGTCCAGCCGCTGTACCGCCCTCTCACCAGAAGTTCCTCTGGTCTTCCCCGACTCATTCCCTCGCAAGTCCGCAGTATACCAGGAACACCGTTTCCGCTGCTGATCCGTGGGCGGGGTCTCAGTCTCCCCGACTTGTCAGCGGCTTCTCGTTAGCAGAGATACGGAGCCAGCGGACCGAGAGGTGACAGCAATCGCGAGCATGGAGACAGATGGCAACAGACCAGACAAATTGGGCAGGGTGACACCGTCAGCAACCGGAGAAACGATATTAGCTAGGCCAAAGATGGACAGGCCTTATTACTTACCTTGACAAAGGTCTATTAATGTGAATTATAGCCATGAGGATACAGGTTTCAGACAGGTTTCCTTCAATTATAATTGTCTTCTGTGAAATTACGATGCGATACGGCGTTGCGTTTCCCTGGACGACGCAGCATCTCTGGGCCAGCAGCCCATCAGTCTGTCCTACCCTCTCCTCCGCTGTGTGCGTATGGAGTGTTTACGCTCCGCGGCGGGGTCCGGTCGGTGTCTGAGCGTCAGGTGACGGCGTCGGTGACCGATGATCGGGCGGTGACCGACGCTCACCGGAGGACGCCTACCATCGATCGACGCCCAATTATCGTCTGGTGGCGGCGGCCCCGACTGACCGACGGATCAACAGAACGGCGAAACGACGAACCCAGCGATAGACCGACGGACTGACCGAGGGACAGATGGACGGACAGACCTACGGACGGAATGAGGGATGGACAGACGAACCGACCGAGGGACGGACCGACCGACGAACTGACTGAATGGTAAACTGGCTGACAGACTAACTAGGATGGACAGACGGTGGACTGACAGATTGTCGGACATACTCGTACTGCTGCATTCTGCAGTCAAGGTCCGTGACGCCTCTGCCCGATGACGTGCGAAATATCAGTGTGATGTTTGATGACGGTCCGTAGAGCCTTTATGACATTCCGCCACGCACGGTCACATTTTGATGCATGCGATAGCAGCCACTGCTGGATCGATTCCGCTAAGGCTTCTCATAGGGGTGTCTGCACTCTGCAAATGAGGCCGCACCAGGGTCTTCCTGTGCCGTATGAACGATGTATTCTGCAAATATCATATTCCCTATTGCTACCATGTCCTCAATGGTTGTCATATTCTCAATAGCCATATTCTCGATTGGTTATATTCCAATATTCTGGTGAGTGGTCTTTCGCCGATGTGACACTCGCCTACGCTGGTGAACCCTATCACTTTCTGGTTCTGGTATGAGTGGTGAGAATTGAGAATGGGACAGTCGTTGAGAGATCGACTGTTATTGAGCTGCCCAGGTCGATAAATGCGGACTCTGGAGGCAATCCTTAGCTCATCAGTCCAAGAAGGCATGCCATATTTCCGAGTAGTTTAAAGGTCGTGCTTGGGTTCCACCTGAACGGTAGCGCACGTGCCAGTGCGTACACCACGCACACGACCGATTTTTACAGCGTTCTGAGTAATTGAGCACAATAGTCGAGCCCGTGTCAGACTCCCCCGAGCGACTTCCACAGCGTTGCTGAGTCCGTGCGCCCTGGCCGACGGACCGGTACCTACCGGCTCAGACCGGCCGTGACCACCTGTACCCGTGTATGCGCCGTTCGTCAGCTGCGTCAGCCGTCGTCAGCCGTCGGCGGATCATCGTCAATCGATGTCAGAGGGGGGAGGGGGAGCCGCCGGCCCGCGGCACGAGCAGCGGCGCTCGGATTGTAGTGCGGAACTATGCACTGTGCGGGGCAGGCCACACCCTGTCAGGGAGTGGAAAAGAATGAATTACCCGGCGCTTGGCATAGATGAAAATACAGAGAAATTGGGATTGTGAAAGTCAGGATTTTCTAGTTGTCTGCGAATAGAATTGGGCGCGTGGATAAAATTTGGTGTTTGCCTGGATGGCCACCGCATTCCATCACATCTCATGTCCGTCTGCAGTTCTCAGCGGCGCCTGCTTTCTGTTCTATCGGATTTGTCATCTTTGATTCCCTTCCCCAACGCTCCGACGTCCCGCACCGTTCCGTTCCGGCACATCCTGTGTGAGGTCCCGGTTGCAGCTATCGTCCGCCGGCCGAACGCACCTCACTGGCGTATGATTCGCACTAAGTCAGCATTCGGAGCCCCTGTGACGTCAGCGCGCCTGTGACGTCACCACGCCTCTGACGTCACTGCTAATGGCGAGCGTATCACGGGTGACGATGTCTGATTGCTTATCTTGACCTTGTGATGTGGCACAATCTGTGTTGCATGTGAAGAGGATCGAAAGCCGATTGATGTGTTGATTGTTGATGCACTGAAAACAACGCCACTCGTTATGTCACGCCATATGCTTGTGTATTTGTTTGACATTTCGGATGCGAATGTGTTTTTCTTTGAGTCAGCATTTTGCCACTGTGCGCCAGTAGATCTATTGCTCTGTCGCCCCAATATTTTTTTTTTCACTGTACGCTGTTCACGCGGTACCCAGCTCAGTAGCGTCTCACCGAGAGCTGTGTCAGTTGACTGACGTTTCGCCTCTGCTGACTGTGTCCGCTGACTGCCGTCTCGTCTCTGCTGACTGTATGAGAGTAGCTGACTGACGTCTTGCCTCTGCTGCCTGTGTCAGCTGACTGACTTGCCGTCTCTGCTCCCCCAGGTATCAGCACTCCACCGTCGTCCGGCTCGGGTTCGGGCAGTGACCGCGCCGGCGGCGGACAGTCGTCCTCAACCGCCTCCCTGCCGGTAGCCAACGGCGCCACCCCGGCCGCCCCCGCCCCTGCCCCCGCCCCCGCCTCCGCCTCCGCCTCCGCCTCTCCGGCTCCGGCGTCCGGCGGTCCGGCGCCGCCGCCCGGTCCGGCCGGTCCCTCCGGATCCTCCGGAGCGGCCGGGGGACGGCCGGCGGCCGGCGGGGCGGCCTCGGCGGCACCCAAACAGAACAGTCGGACCACCAACGGGTCGGCGCAGCAGGAGGAAGAGCCGCTGCCGCCCGGGTGAGACGGCCGAGGGGACAGTTATGGGGTAGGGTGGGAGTCATGGGGTAGGGTGGGGCGATAAGGCTCTGGGCTGTGGGAGATAGACTGTTCAGTGTTCAAGGCAGGGCGGGGATTAGCATGGCGAAGTCTACTCAGATTTTGAAGTTGGTGATGCTGATAGCTGACGTTCACCTGCACTTCTATGTAGGGCCAACGCCTTTGTTTGTGTGTATGTATATGAGTCGTAAAGGACTACTCCATCACTTCTCTTCTTTGCTTATTCCTGTCGGCATGCTGTCTTCGACACTACCCGTCTCCCGTCTGACCGCCCCTCTCTCCCGCTCCGCTCGCAGCTGGGAGGTGCGGATCGACTCTCTGGGCCGGCGGTACTACGTCGACCACACGACACGGAGCACCACGTGGGAGCGACCGCAGCCGCTGCCTCCCGGCTGGGAGATGCGCCGCGATCCGCGCGGAAGGGTCTACTACGTGGACCACAACACGAGGACCACCACCTGGCAGCGGCCGACTGTCGAGAGCCTCCGGTGAGAGGGGTTTCTTCGCGGGGGGATATGAGGGAGCAGTGTGTAGGGGAGGAGGGGGGGGGGGAGGAAGGCTTTATCAAAATGATAGAGCCTTTTCGCTGAAAATAAATGTGTAAGGATTTGTTATTGACTTCCCTCAAAAAAGTGTCTCAAAACTTGCCCCAAGAATGTGTGCCTCCTAGACTCAGTGATTGTGTTCAGTGACTTGGATGACTCCCGCAGCTGAACTGATACACCTGTTCAGCGGTTGATGCTGAGACCACTGATAATGGTCAGCGATGCGAGTTCTGCCATCCAACCTTCCTTAGTGTGGCCCGGCCGTCAGGCAGTATTACGTATGTCATTGTTATCTCCGATGTGCAGCAATTTTGAGACAGAGCGATCGTTTCAACATGTCCATTGGCCTCAATTTTCTCTCAGTGTCTGTCTAGGCTTTCCTTCTAAGGCCTTTCCCTTCCGCCCACAGCAACTACCAGGAGTGGCAGGGCGAGCGGTCCCAGGTGATGAAGCAGAGCAACATGCGCTTCCTGTACCCGGCTGGCGGCGGCGCGGCCAGCGCCAACGGTGCCGCCACAAGCGAGGAGGACCCGCTCGGACCGCTGCCCGATGGCTGGGAGAAGCGCATCGAGCCCAACGGACGCGTCTACTACGTCAACCACAAGAACCGCACCACCCAGTGGGAGGACCCTCGCACACAGGGGTTAGTGGCGGGACGGACGGGCGCGGTGGCTGTGGGTGGGGGTGGCGGGGGTATTATAGAACTTGGAGTGAGATAATAACAGCTGTGGTTATTAGGCCGCTTTGGGACGGAGAATCGAAGGGTTTGGCTATTTTAATTTTCATCCGAGGGTTGTAATGCTGGATGAACGAGCGTTTTTTTTTTGTCTGAGACCACCTAACGAGGGTATGTTTTAGACTGCTGTAGGTTATGGTTGTAAGTCCTTTCGTACGCGCTAAATGTCGCTAAAATGCGGGCGCTGCGCGTATCCCATAACTCCTATTCCGTAGCAGACACTACCCCTCAGTGCGCCCACTTCCGAGCCTGTTCCGGCGGCTGATGTTCCCTCTCTACCGTATCGCAGGAAGGTGATCCAGGAGGAGCCGCTGCTGCCCGGCTGGGAGATGCGCTACACCAAGGACAACATGCGCTACTTTGTCGACCACAACACGCGCACCACCACCTTCGACGACCCGCGGCCCGGCGCCGTCAAGGGGTGGGTGCTCTCACTCTTCTCCACTGTTCGTCTAAAGTATCTGCTTCTTTGTTAAAACTTGCCGATAAATGTATTTGTGTAATACCATCATTACTATTATCATTACCATCATTATATTATTATTGGGCTCAGTTGGCAATTCATACTTTCGCTGAAGTTGATATGTGCGTTCTATTGACATTGCTCTCAGATCGTCACTACTATTTACCATTACGAGATCATTACTTAGGGTGCTTGGCATCCCGTGATGCCTGTTGCTACGCTTTGATTGACTCCCGCCCGGCTGCCCGTCGCGCTGTAACTGACTGACCGCCCTCCCCCCCCCTCCAACAGACCGGTTGGCGCGTACGGCGTTCCGATCGCCTATGAGCGCTCGTTCCGCTGGAAACTAGGTCAGTTCCGCTACCTGTGCTCCTCGAACGCGCTGCCGAGTCACATCAAAATCTCGGTGTCGCGTCAGACCTTATTCGACGAGAGCTTCCACCAGATCATGCGGCTGCCGGCGTACGAACTGAGGCGCAAACTGTACATCATCTTCAGAGGAGAGGAGGGACTCGACTACGGCGGCGTGGCGCGGTGAGTGAGGGGGCAGATTGGAAGACGAGGGGGGACTCTACGTAGGCAGGGAGAGAGAGGAGAGGGAAGAGGAAGGTGGGATGAAATGGTGAGAGGAAGAAGGGGCTTGATTTCGGCGATTTGACACGGCGACAGAGAAGAGAGGAGGAGAAAGGAGAAGGAGGCATGTCTGAAACTATATAGCCTGGTATTCCGGGTAGCGCTATATTATTTTTGCCTTCAATCGTGATTATAGGGGAGAGTGGGGCACATTCGTGCAGAAAATGGATAAATCCGTATATCTGTTCTTTGGTTAGTGCATCGGCAAAATTGTCGATTGTAGTATGGAAAGGAACTATTGCAGATATTTTTTCTCATTAAAAGTTATTCTCTAAAATTATTGCTTCCTTTAGAAAAAATGACTTTTAATAGCTCTGAACGTTTGCACGAAACTGCCCCACCTATGGGGCACATTCGTGCAAGGGATGGGGGGATGGGGCACTTCAGTGCACCCTGCAAAGTCCGAGAAATTACCGGGCATTACCAGAAATTTACCAAAGGAAATTGGCAGGGGGTCATTTCACTTGATTCCTTTCGACAAGAATGCATTGCACAACATATGTAGAAAAAAAATGGACTGGCCAACAAGAATGTGCCAACTGCCGGCCTCCGTGACCTCGCCAAGTTCGCCTGAATTACCGACGTCGCAAGCAGCCGAGACTGAGTCAGTCGAGCGTCATTAGTGAAACATACCTACTACAGATAAAGTCATAAATCACAAAAAACAAAAACAAAATATGCACGAATGTGCCCCCAGGCAGTGCGTACACGAACCTGCCCCACAACGTTATTTGTAATATAATTAAAAATTTATTGTTGAAAAATGACACTTTTTCAACAAACAAGTTTCCAGCAGTTCCGTGAATAGAGTGAGCTTCTTTGCCCCCAATTCTGAAAAGCTGAACCACATTTCCGACTCAGGATCACGAAAATGGATGATATGAGAAAAGTTTGGAAAGCTCACGAATATTACAAATTTGCGTTTTTATCAAGCATAACAGCAGGTACAGTGTTGTCTTCTACGGTGAACGAAGGGCGGCAATGATAGACATATTTCCATAATTTACCTTGAGCTCGTGCAGTCAATCGTGTTTCCATAAACTGCTGAAAACGAATGTGCCCCATGCACGAATGTGCCCCACTCTCCCCTACTGATTCTGATTTCCTTAGGTCGTTGGGTCAGTTCTTCTGCTCTCAGATGTGGTGAGGATCTGAGACTGACGGCTGTGTTCTCCGTTCTCAATCTTCACAGGGAGTGGTTCTTCATGCTGTCCCACGAGCTTCTGAACCCCATGTACGGCATGTTCGAGTACGCCAATAAGAACAACTACAGCCTGGAGATCAACCCGGCGTCCGAGATTAACCCCGACCACCTCATGTACTTCAAGTTCATCGGCCGCTTCATCGCTATGGTGAGGGAGCGACCGACTGGGCCAGTTACAGCAAAAAAGCATGATGGGAGGGATGAGAGGCGATCGGTGTCCGTTTATTACTTATTTGTGGGAAGAGGAGACCAGATTTGTGTCTTCGGGCTGGTGAAAGAAATGAGAGGCGCCGACATTAACTGACCAGGCTGCTGCCACAGTGTGGCTAAATTCATTTTATGTTAGGGGGAAGATGTAGAAAAAAGGCCGGAAAGGATGTCGTTATTTTCGTAAAACTTGACTTCGACCCGTTTAAAGCACTGTTTTGATATGTGTCTCGAGAAAATGATGTAGAAATATTAAATACTGATTTTGATATTCGGGATGATACATAAGGTTTTTAAGTCGTGTCATATATTTGAACATTTTGGTTATTCGAATGGTTGTCTTGGCACGTTGTGAAAGTTTGCGAGGTTTGTGTTTCTCTTGCTCCTAGGCGTTTGGGTTTGAGGTTGTTATTAATGGCACCTTACTGGATCGGATGAGACTGTAAGATTCATTAGAACGGCGAGGCCCACAGCCATACACACATCGGCGCCGCAAACGCCCGTACGTACTCGGCGGCGGCATCGTGTGAACCCATGACTCATATGAAACACCCAGTGACACCTAGCGGCCGGCCAGACATTGCACTGACGTGGAAGTGACTACAGGCGGCGGCGCCCCACGAACTGCACCCTTCCCTTTGCTGACAAACCATCACAGAGGGACCATCTTTGTGCTGCCTGCCGACGATTGCAGATTGCCACTAGGCGCAAATAAGGTGGGTCGTATCCTGCATTTCCGCCGCCCGACCGACTGGCCCTAGGACAGGGCTGCGCGTCGGCCATTATTGTTCAGGCCAGAGCTCTCCAACGGCCGACAGTATCACCGACCGTGTAAGCAGTTATGCTCGTGCCGCATTCCAGGGAGTTACGACTTATGCTGCCACCAGACTGCTAGCCTCGCATCTTGTTGTGTTCATAGACCTGTCCACGTGCATGACCTAATGTCTCTGTGCACCCAAGGCCAAGCCACCCTGACGCCATCTTTGCGGGACCGATCAGCAATCGTGTGACCTCTGCCCAGCGATCGCGTGATCGTGACGTCAGCGGTAGGTGTGGACACCTCCAGCGCTAGTGGCGCCGCGGCGGCAGCGACAGCAACTGCTGGTAGTCACGTGGCCGCCAGTGGCGCAGGCGCGGGCGTGTCATTACGTAACCGTCATCTGCGCCGTGAGGCGGCCCGGGTGACTCACTCGCCGTGACGTCAGCTGACCGTGACCGTGGCGTAGCGGCCTTTGGCCTGGCACCCGGACCGCAGGTCCGCAGCTGATCGGGGGTCGTCTTGCACCGGGTCTGCAGCGGGCCATCTGGACTGGAGTCAGGTCACTGCTGGCCGTATGCCACTCTGTGGGTGCAAGAATGACTGCATGCTGCATTGCCGCCACGGGCATGTCCACTGATCGTCACACCTACACCGGAACTCGCGCCTATCTGCCTCTCACCGGTCCGGTGACCGTCGAACTCCCACTGAACTCATCTGTCCGCTGGCAGTGTGTAAGGTACTGAGCAACTTGTCCATCGACGCAGCCTGTATTAGGTCCCGGCACCGACTGACCGGTACGGCTCACCGGCCGGTTGCGATCGGCCATTGTGTGCCCCAGGCGCCGAGCGTGCACAGCGGTCAGCGTCCACGCAGGGACGCGTCAAGGGTGTGCACAGATGTCAGTGCACACAGACAGGCCGCCAGCCGGCACCAAGTCCCTACACTGCCCTTCCCGAAGAAAATGAGCCATTGCGCCGCACACCAACACACAACTATGTAAAAAAAAAAAACGGTTTGTTTCCGCAATCGGCCCGACCGGCGATCACCAGCTTCGCTAGCACCAGACTCCGCCGGTACGGACGTTAACTGTTCCGCAGCCGTCAGCCCGCCGCTATCGGGGGGCACCGCTACTTCAACACAATCATCGCCTGATGGCGCAGGCGCCTTCGCTAATGGCACCTGCGTGCCAGTCACAGAAGTTTCCGCTGGCAGCCGCCGTGCGGCAGGACCCAGTCCAGGTTAGCAGGTCGGCGGTCGCTGGGACGCGGAGCTCGACATCCTGGGCAGAGGCGCGTGTAGCTGGGTCGGCGGCGTCAGCTCCTCTGCAGCCGCACTCCTGGCTCGGCCACGGTCTCGGCTGCACCAGCAGTCATCGCAGGAGGTTCTGTAAACGTGTTTCCGTTTAGTCTACGTCTCAACTGATCAGTATGCCGTCGCCATATCCTGCCATCCTCTAGCTCGATCGCGTACGATACTGGCCCGTCGACACCAACGACCGCTCCAGCAGCCCATGGCGACCCAACACCGTGTTTCTGAAAAAAACACGAGATATGACACACCAAATCTTCTTTCAGATCTTACCTTGCTTTCATGATTTCCTTCTGTTTCACCTGCTGCTCAGTCACTCCCTTCCGCATGTCCGGGTGAAGGAGATCCAGCCGGCTCCGGATGCTGCGTACAACCATGAGCTCTGAGGAAGAAACTGAGGTCGTGCTGTAAGGTGTGATATTCTGACGGCGCAGCCAACGAGACAAAGCATCTTCCCAGTTGTCTTAAGACCTCTGCAAGGCAAGCTTGACATCACGCACAGCATGCTCAGCCAGTCCGTTGCCTTGGCTGTGGCGAGGTTCTTTCGTCCTGTGATGTCTGCCATTTTCCTGCAAAAAACATTGAAGCTCGGATGAGATGAATGATGTGGCGTTGTCAGTCACAACCGTGTCTGGTAATCCCCATCGGGAACACATCTCCCAGCCTAGTAATCGTCGACTTGGAGCTGACAGTGGTGCAGCACTCTGCCTCAATCCACTTAGAATAAGCTTCTACCACGACCATCACGTTTCTTCCTTTCGTGGGCTCTGCAAAGTCGATGTGTAACCGTGACAAGGCACGATCCGGCCAGGGCCACATGCGGAGGGCAGCGCGATCAGGTGCTGGCCTGCTCTCCTGGCACGCCCGACAGGCTCCCGACACGCTCGATGACCTTGTCCATGAACGACTACCAGACGCCGCCTCTTGCTAGAGCCTTCATGCGACGTACCCCAGGTTGCGCCACGTGGAGCTCGGCCAAGATCGCTTCACGTGCCCTACTCGGAATAACGACTCGGTGCCCCACATGAGCACGACGCAGCATATGGACAATTCCAGCCGTTTACCAGCAAATGCAGACAGTTCCAAGTCCGTGCTGAGTGGCCAACCACCCTTTTGGGCAAGACGCTTCACTCAGGACAGCATTGGATCCCGTGATGTCAGCACCGCTGTGAAAATTTGCTTGGCTCTGGAGACTTCGGGCAAGGATGCACACCTCATGTCCGGCAGCGGCCGTGCGGCAATGTAAGGTAGTGTAAGGTACTGAGAGACTTGTCCATCGACGCAGCCTGTATTCGGCCCCGGCACCGACTGACCGGCGCGGCTCACCGGCCGGTCGCGATCGGCCACCGTGTGCGCCAGCCGGCACCAAGTCCATACACATTGACACTCACCGGTCCGCTGGCCGTCGCACTTCCACGGCCCGTTGACTGAAAGTACCCTCCTCTGCCCGCTGGCGGTGACACTCAACGGTACGCTGACCGTCCCACTTCCCCGGCCCGCTGGCTGGATGCGACCTCCTCTGTCCGCTGGCAGTGACACTCACCGGTCCGCTGACCATCGTATTCCACGGCCCGCTGGCTGGAAGCGCCCTCCTCTGCCCGCTGGCAGTGACACTCAACGGTCCGCAGACCGTCCCACTTCCACGGCCCGCTGGCTGAAAGCGCCCTCCTCTGCCCGCTGGCGGTAACACTCAACGGTACGCTGACCGTCCAACTTCCCCGGCCCGCTGGCTGGAAGCGCTCTCCTCTGCCCGCTGGCAGTGACACTCACCGGTCCGCTGACCGTCCCACTTCCACGGCCCGCTGGCTGGATGCGACCTCTGCCCGCTGGCAGTGACACTCACCGGTCCCCTGACCGTCCCACTTCCACGGCCCGCTGGCTGGAAGTGCCCTCCTCTGCCCGCTGGCACTGACACTCAACGGTCCGCTGACCGTCCCACTTCCACGGCCCGCTGGCTGGAAGTGCCCTCCTCTGCCCGCTGGCAGTGACACTCAACGGTCCGCTGACCGTCCCACTTCCACGGCCCGCTGGCTGGAAGTGCCCTCCTCTGCCCGCTGGCAGTGACACTCAACGGTCCGCTGACCGTCCCACTTCCACGGCCCGCTGGCTGGAAGCGCCCTCCTCTGCCCGCTGGCAGTGACACTCACCGGTCCGCTGACCGTCGCACTTCCACGGCCCGCTGGCTGGAAGTGCCCTCCTCTGCCCGCTGGCAGTGACACTCAACGGTCCGCTGACCGTCCCACTTCCACGGCCCGCTGGCTGGAAGCGCTCTCCTCTGCTCGCTGGCAGTGACACTCAACGGTCCGCTGACCGTCCCACTTCCACGGCCCGCTGGCTGGAGGTGCCCTCCTCTGCCCGCTGGCAGTGACACTCAACGATCTGCTGACCGTCCCACTTCCACGGCCCGCTGGCTGGAAGCGCTCTCCTCTGCCCGCTGGCAGTGACACTCAACGGTCCGCTGACCGTCCCACTTCCACGGCCCGCTGGCTGGAAGCGCCCTCCTCTGCCCGCTGGCAGTGACACTCAACGGTCCGCTGACCGTCCCACTTCCACGGCCCGCTGGCTGGATGCGACCTCTGCCCGCTGGCAGTGACACTCACCGGTCCCCTGACCGTCCCACTTCCACGGCCCGCTGGCTGGAAGTGCCCTCCTCTGCCCGCTGGCACTGACACTCAACGGTCCGCTGACCGTCCCACTTCCACGGCCCGCTGGCTGGAAGTGCCCTCCTCTGCCCGCTGGCAGTGACACTCAACGGTCCGCTGACCGTCCCACTTCCACGGCCCGCTGGCTGGAAGTGCCCTCCTCTGCCCGCTGGCAGTGACACTCAACGGTCCGCTGACCGTCCCACTTCCACGGCCCGCTGGCTGAAAGCGCCCTCCTCTGCCCGCTGGCAGTGACACTCACCGGTCCGCTGACCGTCCCACTTCCACGGCCCGCTGGCTGGAAGTGCCCTCCTCTGCCCGCTGGCAGTGACACTCCACGGTCCGCTGACCGTCCCACTTCCATGGCATGCTGGCTGGAAGTGCCCTCCTCTGCCCGCTGGCAGTGACACTCAACGATCTGCTGACCGTCCCACTTCCACGGCCCGCTGGCTGGAAGCGAACTCCTCTGCCCGCTGGCAGTGACACTCACCGGTCCACTGACCGTCCCACTTCCACGGCCCGCGGACTGGAAGCGCCCTCCTCTGCCCGCTGGGTCTGGCACTCACCGGTCCGCTGACCGTACCCATTCCGCGGCACGCTGGCTGGATATGGAGCAGCGCCCACTGTCACCGGTCCGCTGACCATACCATACCTATCCGCTGTCTGTCACGTCTCCCTTACTAACCTGCTGGAGCCCACACTCACCAGATCGTCAAACGGTCCACTTTCTCGAGCCCACCAGCCGGTTGCCGCCGGGGGTTCTGCTGGACTAAGTGGGCCGCAGAACTGGGCTAGCCTCCCCCCAGCACCAACTACCCGATGAGTCACCTATTCATTCGACTAACGTCAGGGGCGACTTACAGGTCCCCGTGCCGCTGCGGCAGCGGCGGTGGAATCAGCCGCCATTCCTTCTCTCCACGCCGAAACAGGATTACCGACTAACCTTCGGAGCCGCCGCGGCGCCCGCACCGGCCCGCGCAGAACGAACGATGATGCACCGACCGGCCGCCGCCGTGTGGCGTGTCAACAGTCTGCCTCGCCCGTGCCTGCCCCATCTGCACCATGCGCGATACCGCTCCCCGAGCTGGGTCTACTCGGCTCGTCACAGCGTTCCCGACAGCCGTCTCGCGGGCGCCGCGCTCGAGGCTGCAGCAGCAGCCCGGACACCACCGACTGGGCCAGCCAAACCACCGCCAGCAGCTCCGAGTGCTCCTCTAGCTCCGCCATCGCATCACCGCGCGGCCACAAGCGGTCTCGGACGTCATTATCCCTCACCCCTCGACGTCGCTGCCTCCCCACCGGAACGGTCGGTTTCCTTAATTTCGGCACCATCCCCTCCACCTCCTGCCAGCCCTCTCCTCCCCGTGGCCTGAAACTGCCCACTGTCAGTGCCACCGCACTTCGTGCGCCCGCCGCGCGCTCCTCGGTAGTGTCGGTGGCCGAGGTAGTCTTTCCCCGCCTACCTCCCTCCGACGGCCTCCGCGGTCAGCCGAGGTACCCGCCGCTCACCCCGGCCGGGTACCTGCGTGGTGTCCCGGCGAATGGCGATCGCGACCTCTACGGCCTAATTTTCCCATACATTTGGCAATTTCTTTGGCGTCTTTCAGCTAGAAATCACGGCACTGACCCCATGCAGGACGCTGATCGACAGAGGGCGTGAAAGGAGTCGAGACCGAGTCGCGCCAAAAGAAAATTGGTATATGATGGTTACTCGTACCACCGATCGCCGAGCACGTGCTAATGGCACCTTACTGGATCGGATGAGACTGTAAGATTCATTAGAACGGCGAGGCCCACAGCCATACACACATCGGCGCCGCAAACGCCCGTACGTACTCGGCGGCGGCATCGTGTGAACCCATGACTCATATGAAACACCCAGTGACACCTAGCGGCCGGCCAGACATTGCACTGACGTGGAAGTGACTACAGGCGGCGGCGCCCCACGAACTGCACCCTTCCCTTTGCTGACAAACCATCACGGAGGGACCATCTTTCCCCACCTCCTCCCCACTCCCCCACTATTACATTATCTTCCCTCCAAACCCATTGTCTCCTCCCTTCATCAGTCCGTCTCGTCTTTCAGCTAGAAATCACGGCACTGACCCCATGCAGGACGCTGATCGACAGAGGGCGTGAAAGGAGTCGAGACCGAGTCGCGCCAAAAGAAAATTGGTATATGATGGTTACTCGTACCACCGATCGCCGAGCACGTGCTAATAAGTCATGCCTGCCGTTTGGATGCTTTTATTTATATTTTTAGGATGTGATTATACTTTTCATTATGGGTGGATTTCCCCGCATCATTACAATTTTGGACACACGGTGCTGCCAGCAGCTGTCTACACAATACTCACTGATGTTCAATATGCATATGCATGCCATTCTGGGCTGCCCTGAACCTGCCTATATTTTAGATCAATAACTAACAATGCTTAGTGTACTGTGTCCGAAATGCGAGGGCCAGTTTCGATAATGTCTCTGTCCATCTTTCCTACAGGCGCTGTACCACGGCAAGTTCATCTACCGCGGCTTCACGATGCCCTTCTACAAGCGTATGTTGCACAAGAAGCTGACCACCAAGGACATCGAGTCGGTGGACCCCGAGTACTACAGTTCGCTCGTCTGGCTGCGTGACAACAACATCGACGAGTGCGGTCAGTGCGGGCGTGCCGGGGGCGAGTGGGATGGAAAGAAGGGCGGAGATGGGTGGGACCGTAGACGGCTTTTCACTGTCGCAGTAGAACAGTAGTCTGGTGGAACGTATGGGGCGTGTGGCCAAGATGGCATGTGTGGGGCAGGTGTTTTTCTTTGTACGGCAACAAGTTATGTAGTGAAGGAAACCAGGCTGAATTTGGAGTAACTTGGAGTTACGCCATTCATGCCGTTTTCATCATTCATCATTCACCAATCATTCGAGTTGGATGTGTTCCTATCGTTCGTGCGTCTCAGTCCGTCTTGGTACAATTTTACATTAATTGTTATTTGATCGTTTGGGAGGGCCCGTTTTGTTTCCCGGTCTAAAACACCACTACGGAAAACGCCCTCAGTTTAATTTAGAATGCTGCCATTCTGGAACAGCCCAAGTTATCAGCAGCCGACTGTATGCGACCCGCCCCGTGCCGCTTGTGTGACTCTCCCGCCGTGACCCTGTGCCCCAGAAGGTATGGAGATGCACTTTTCGGTGGACTGGGAGAAACTGGGCAAGATCATGCACCACGAGCTGAAGGAGGGTGGCGACGACATCCTGGTGACTGAGGAAAACAAGGAGGAGTATATCAAGTGGGTGAACGCGCCGGGATACTTAGGCCAGCTTGTCGTAGATTGCAGCTGATATTATAGTATGTCTGCACTGATGGCGCTTCCATCACCAAATACCTTGCATGAGGTAGTCACATTTCAGTCTTCTTTTTTAGAAATCGAGTAAAAAAAATAGTATCCTTGTTGAGCATCACCTATCATTATTTATTTATACATGACTTAGCTTTGTTGCGATAGGCTGCTGTCTTAATTTGAGACTTGGGTGTGTAAACTGACCTTGTCAGTTGTCACCCTCCCTGAGTGCTGACCCATGTGACCCATCTGTGCCCCCGCAGACTGGTGACCTCGTGGCGGATGACGCGCGGTATCGAGGAGCAGACGCGCTCCTTCCTCGAGGGGTTCAACGAGGTGGTGCCACTCGAGTGGCTGCAGTACTTTGACGAGCGAGAGCTCGAGCTGATGCTCTGTGGAATGCAGGAGATCGATGTTCAGGTTAGTGTCTGAAGCGACGGCGTCGGCCCGGCAGACGTGGAGGTAGCAATGAAGACTGGCATTGATCCAGAACGTTTTGGCTCCTTTATGAGCTGGCCGGATGATCGTCATTTTGAAGATGTTGTTGTTTAGACCTTAGGGTTTTCCACTTAATGTCGTTTTATTTGTTGCTTTCGAAAAATTGACATGGTTCATCTACCAAGTCTCTCCGCCTGATCACCCACCCTTCTGTCTCTGTAATCGTCTGTAGGACTGGCAGCGTAACACCATCTACCGGCACTACACACGCAACAGCAAGCAGGTGCAGTGGTTCTGGCAGTTTGTCAAGGAGAGCGACAACGAGCGGCGCGCCCGGCTGCTACAGTTCGTCACCGGCACATGCCGCGTGCCCGTCGGAGGATTCGCAGAGCTTATGGGTGAGGAGGGAGTCCGGGAGGACGGGACCGGGGAATGTATCAGAACTGGTAGGGGTCGAATCGGGGGGTTAGTAGCCCTCCGTTCCATCGCTTCCATCCTCAGGACACAGAAATCCTTCTCCTCCACGCCGCAACCCCCACTCCGGGCTGGACAGGCACCTTTATCTCATGCGGGCTGCTCCCTTGGAGCGGCACCGCTGCTCCCGAGGGAGCGCACCCCGTAGCCGGGTGCAGGGAGTGCTTAGGGGGCTGGTCGGCCTGTCCTTTCGGACGGGCTCAGCCCCGGCGACTCTCTAGGGTGTCTGCCCAGGCCAGTGTCTCCCCCTAATTCCTATCATCCTTCCGGCCCTGAAATGGTCTCGTCAGACCGAAAGGGCCTAACCCAACAAAACAAAACAATAAGCTCCAGATCGGATGAGAGCTTGGGTTGGAGCGAGGGTTGAATTCGGCATAGAGACCGTTCAAAGCGGAGTTCAATGTTCTTTCAAACTATTTCAGATGTCACGGCAGGTCGGATTCGCGGCAGACTTCTCACTTCAGTGGGCATCACTCCTGTCGGCAGAGACTATACGTGAAGCAATCTTCACTTTGATTCATGATTTGATTTGATTTATGTGCGACTTTTGCGATTTGATTTATGTTTGATTTTAGGGCCGCGTGTTTATTCCACGGGGCAAAATTGAGCTGAGTCGAATCAGTCCTCCTCGTGCCTCATGGTCATCCCATAGGCAGTTCTCCGTATGGTCTGTGGAGTTCCTCGGCCCCTCGCCGGCCACTGCCAATCCAGTAACCTCACTCCCATACTCCGTCCTCCTCCAGGGAGTAACGGCCCGCAGCGGTTCTGCATCGAGAAGGTGGGCAAGGAGACGTGGCTGCCGCGCTCCCACACCTGCTTCAACCGGCTCGACCTGCCGCCCTACAAGACGTACGACCAGTTCGTCGAGAAGCTCACGTTCGCGATCGAGGAGACGGAAGGATTCGGACAGGAGTAGCCGGCGGGCCGGTCTGGTCTGGTCTGATCTGGTCTGGTCTGGTCTGGTCCGGTCCGCTGTCTCGGGACGATGGGCGCTACATTCCCTGCGCGGCCAGCGCGCGAGCTCGTTTCTACAAATACGGGGTCTAGATTATGCCGCTACCGTTAGTCAGTTGTACTGTGATCACTCTATTTTACCCTGCCTGAGGGCATTAGTGGCCCGGCGGCTCGGCGCGGCGCGTACCGCCCCGACCGCCGGGCCCGCCCGGACGCTATCTATTGGTGTGCACGCGCGCGCGCGCGCGCCGTCCGACGCGCGACGTGTGCGGTGGAGAGTTGTTTGTAAATAATTATTGAACTATGAGCCGATGAAATAATACATGACCACGAATCGAGAACGTGTTGTCGGTCAATGAAGATGCGTGTACATGTTCACACACTACACTCCCACGTCGTCCAGAAATGGCACAGCGACGGCGTTCCTGGCAGACATGAGCATGAGTCTAGGAAAACACACTGATAACGTACTCCGCTGAGGGTATACGGCCAGTCACTATGACTGCCTGAAAACAATCGCCCAGCTGCTGCTGCGTCACTCTTCGAAGGACACAGCATCCAATATGATACTGCCTTCCTTCCATCAGCACACACAACACAATCACTGCTCAGTCAGGCAGTGACAGCAATCACATTCTAACACACATCTGTAACAATACATATCAAAACGGCCACCCGCCCGCCCCACCCGCGATTCACAGGACTAGACTAGCCGGTGTGCGGCGCTACTTTTTGCGTGGTGACCCGTCTGGGTTGTGTCGGGTCGGGTCGTACGAGTAGGTCTTTGTGACGGGGCCCAGACCGGCCTTCTTGAAGCGCATCTCGTCGTACCGTTGCCGGTCCTCGAGGTCCTTGGTGACCTTCATGTTGTTCCAGCCTGACGGAAAAGACGGGGGGAGTGAGTGAGCGGGTGGGGGATCGCAGAGTTCACACGAAGTACGGACCAAACATTGGGGGGCGATCGTCGAAAACGAACATCGCGTAGAGGTAGATTTGCGAGCATAATTAATTGGTTGAAGACAAAGGGGTAGTACATTCATTGCAAAGGGCACAATTACTACACGGTGCAAAGCCTACCCTAACCCTCGTTCACCCAGTCAGATTTTCAACTGGCCAAAATTTTTTCGAAAAGCTTCCAGATTTGATGACTCATAGCATCTGTTGTAAAGAAAAAAAAAACATTGATTACATATTAAGCACTAATATGTGCTTAATATGTAATAATAATCATCATCTCCGGGCCGCCCGCGGAGATGCTTCGCCCGTGCAGCGGAAGGAGTGATATTTCCGATAGTATCTACCTCAGCGGGCTGCACTGTTCGTCAGAGACTGTGCGCCATGTCAGTCTAGTGTTGACCGCCCTGATTAAGGCCTCTCACTCATGGCTAAGGACTGTTTGCCTGTGACACCGGGAGGTCTGCAGCGACTGAAGGCAACTTTATCTGCAGGTCGGCTCTGTTCTCCAGTGTCAACCTGTTTGTGCTGCAGTGACTGAAGGCAACTTCTAGCTACAAGCCGAAACAACAGATGGCGCTGAACCTGCCTGCGGCGGACGCCGTTGTCGCAGCTGAGCTAAACCTGCTCGCGACCTGGCGCTCAGTCTGCGAGCTGGTCCAACATGTGACTCCGGATTTTGTAGGTGGCGCTGTTATCGCTGATGGAGCGGTCCCGCGGCTGCGCTACTCTGTGTGCGAATTGGCCTGACAGGTAGTGCTGATTCTGCACACGTGTAACCCTCCCTCACGCTCTGCGGTTGACTGACACCAGCCTATAGATGTCACTCTCGTCGCTTTGTTGATGTGCGCCGCCCTTCCCGGGCCTTCCAGCCTTGACTGCGGTGGAGAACTGCGACAAACCCAGTTCGAGATGGATAGTGGCCTCTGTAGTCCTGTGTTTCTGTGATCGTATCATAAATGGTGCTGCCTCCCAACCTTCTAACCACTAATCTTCTGCACTCTTCTAATCACTTCTAACTGTTAAACAAATCCTATCCGCACCTTTAGCCCTATGCAGCGCCATTTATTGATTCACGTTTCACTCAATCTCCCGATGCTGATCTCAAATGCTTCTTTCGTTGATGATTAAATATATGTACCACCGGTGGACTCCGGGGAAAACAACAACAACAACAACTAAAGGTAAGAAGGACTGAGCCATCATACATCGGCAACGAATCGCACGAACAGCGCCACGAGTACGACTTACTTTCTTTCATGCCGGCTACGAAGGGCTTCTTTTTGACGGGCAGCTTGGTCTCATCGTGTTTGATTTTGGCCGGGATCTTGAAGTAGGTGCGCACAGCTGGGATCTTGAGGAAGAGCACCTGGTTGAGCGCCACCAGGTTGGAGCACACCCAGTAGCACAGGATCGCCTGCCGATAAGAGGGAGAAGGGGGAGGTTTGAAACACTGACCAGTTTTAGGGGTGACAGGTTTGAAAATGTCCAATAGCACTGACAGGAGAGTCTTGCGCGGGCGGGTGGCAAGGGATGTGGGTTTAAACAGAAGAGGAAATGTCAAATCCGGGAAAGAATATGTGAACCAAGCAAAAGCAACACATGCTAAACCTTAAATCAAATACTTAAAGGGACTATCCCACCTTCAAAAAAGTACCGTTTAGGATTCGGAAATGTTACTTATGATATTTTGACGAATTCTGCAAGTTTTTACGCGTTTTCATCGTATACTTTTTGAGATATTGCGACTTCATATTTCATCGTGACGTCATTTATATCGAATCTGTGACGTAATGAAGGATATACTTCATGTCAATGTGAGGGGAAATTTGGCAGCAAATATATTTGCTTTCAAATATGACGCGGCTCATACAATAACAAGAGTGTCTCTGATTGGCTTATTCGTAAATCAAGTGATACTTCACTTGAATATGTGACAGGCGTTCAAAAGGCAAATGAGTAATGACGTCATCAAATGGCCGTTAATAGAGATAGGGCCTTAGCTAAGGCCCACTTTTCAAATGAAGGGAACGAATTTCTTTAACACCACGAAACTGAGGATATTGCGACCAGGAAATATAGTGGTTTCTGAACCTGGCCGCCAATTTGGCTATCTCAACTCAGAACTAATGCAAAGGTGGGACAGTCCCTTTAAGCGATAAGATGATACCCTACGCTAAAAGTTTCAATTATTTTATCTCCCTACAATTCTGTATACGCAACATTAGCATTTGGTAACGTACTAGAACATCAATTTTGTAAAAAAAAAGCTTTTACTCTCATTACCTTGCAAACAAGCAAAACAACACCATATTCATTATCGAAATTTACTCTAAACAGCTCGTGCCTGGCTTCCTGATCAGTGCCACTCACCGCCGGGAAGTTCATGGTGAGCGGGAACACGATGAACGGCATGGCTCTGAGCACGTAGCGCACCAGGTGCTGGTTGGGTCCCGTGCTGACCTTGCCGCCCTCGGCACCCAGCTGGCGGCAGACGGGTCATCGGGTTAGGTCACCGGGTCAGATGAGCCTCTACCAAAGTACCAGCATCTCAATTGGACATCAGCTCGTAGAAAAGAGATCAGGGGTTACACCGCGCTGCCGTGCAAAGGAAAAACCACGTATGTTACCGTTTTTTGAAAAACAAAAATGTTCAGGAGAGCCGAAAATGCGTTTTTCATTGTAGCAACCGTGTAAAAGCTCGCACAGACAAAAGAAAGATATCATTGAATTCCTCTCCGCCTTGCGATTCCGATGAGCCTTGTTGTAAATATATATTTATAAATACTGCCCTAAAAACTCTAGGGCGTTGTTTTGCCACCATCAAATTTGATCTATCAAATTAAACTTTGCAAAGGAAAAAACACGTATGTCATTTTCCGTGTGGCTAAACCACGTATGTGGCGCTCAAACTACAGTCGTAATTGGCAAAACAACGTATGTGACTAGCAGTGGATGACATACGTGTTTTTGCCAACACCGATTGTTTTGACACCGCAACATACGTTCATTTCCAACATAAAAGTCAGCGTACCAATAAGGATTGTGGCCGTGGGAGTGGCTTTGTGATTCCTGCTAGGCAAATTTCGCCACACCCAAAGCGTGTGTATCGTTAGCATTTATATCCGGGGCTGGGTGTTTTAACGTTGCTGTTTATATAAGCGAAAATTTGTACGAAACTACACAGATTAGTCCATGGGAAGATTCTTATAACTTCCCGTGCCGTCGGTGGGGCCAGTACTGCCCCCCCCCCCCGGTGCCGGATCCCCCGGAAGGGCCGTTGCCGCGCCCTCGGTCACGTCGGGAGGGCAGGTGCAGCGCCCTGCGGTGGCACGTCCCCGGTTGCGTCGGTAGGGTCGGTGGCGTCCCCCCCCCCCCTCCAGGGCCGGTGGAAGAATACTGGGTCGGTGTGGCAGGTGCCACGTTCCACTGTACAGTCACCAGCACTTGCTACTAATCACCTCGTTTTTGTTCAGTAGTTTGAAGACCGATCACTTATCAGTCGCGCAAGATACGTCAAACGATCCGTTTGGTCCTCCGATTTTCGAATATCTAAGTTGTTTTTGTATATTCGAAGCATTTTGGGATGGGGAGCCAAAAAACCTCTTTTCTGCCCTAAAGTGTGCCCCAAGAAGTCGTAGAACCTAGTCCCGCCTCTGATCCACAGACCACTAGTGCCATCTCTTGTCAGCCGAGCAAGCCGCAGAAGTAAATAATGTCACGTGACCTTTGCACACGCTACAATTACTACGCAGTTGTAGTGGGGGAAGCGGGGCGGAGGCGTGGAGAGGGACGCGATCGGTCGGCTGGGGTCAGGTCGCCGAGGTCAGAGGTCATCCGCCGGAGGGTGTTTGAGCGGTTGGGCCGTGTGGGCTGGGGCCTGCGGAGTGGGGAGCGCCTGGACCTGTCTGGAAACAAGCCCTACAACGCTGTGACAGTCGGGAATATTGTGAGGAAAGAGAGAGAGGGAGAGGGAGAGGGAGAGAGAGGGAAAGAGAAAGAGAGGGAGAGAGAGAAAGAGAGAAGGAGAGAGAGAAAGAGAAAGAGAGAGGGAGAGAGAGAAAGAGAGAGAGAGAAAGAGAGAAAGATAGGAGGAGAGAGAGGAAGAGCGAGAGAGAGAGAGAGAGAGAGAGAGAGAGAGAGAGAGAGAGAGAGAGAGAGAGAGAGAGAGAGAGAGAGAGAGAGAGAGAGAGAGAGAGAGAGAGAGAGGAGAGAGAGAGAGAGAGAGAGAGAGAGAGAGAGAGAGAGAGAGAGAGAGAGAGAGAGAGAGAGAGAGAGAGAGAGAGAGAGAGAGAGAGAGAGAGACTGGAGGGAAGGGATAAGGACGGGAGGGAAGGGATAAGGACGGGAGGACAGAAAGGAGAGACAGAAAAGGAACACCAGGGAGGGTAAAATGAAAAAGAGGGCAATGGGTAAATCAGTGAGAGGGAGCGAGAGAGGAAATATTTAGTTTTGTCAGCTTGTTTCACATGTAAAATGTAAATTTGCTTTCCATCATTACAGCTTCGGATTGGAAATTAAATCTTAGCATCCTTATGATAAACCCACGTTGACGGGATGCAGTAGCGGCGGAACACCTTCAATTAAGGGGCGGGGGGCACTGCCGACTTTTGGTCCTATTATTTCCATGCAACGCTCATAGGGCTAATGTTGAAATGCCAAAATCAAAAGGGGGCCCGGTGCCCCGGTGCCCTCCCCGTTCCGCCGCCTTTGACGGGATGGGGACGCTTTTATGGTCGTCGTTGGGAGCTCGGCACTAATGGGGTCTGGGGATGATGTTGAAGGTTTCGCAAATGTTTCATAAAAGAGATGCTATTTTTTTGCACAACCTATTAAACATTTTTTACGTTTGCTATGAAAATGTTAGGCCAGGTTCCTGCAAGATCAGATCCACAGCTCCACAGCTTACAACAGGAGCTAGCTAACATAACAATTAACCCGCGCCGTGTTGGTGACATGAACTTTCCGTCGAGTGCTGGGGCGGGGGCGTTTCACGCCCCTCCGTCTAACTCGGCTCTTGGGCCACGTAGCGACACGCGGTAAGCGGCAATCGAAAGAGCGTCAAAAATAAGGAGGAAAACACTCGGTCACTTTAAGGTCAGGGCAAAGGTCAGGTCACCAGGGTTCATTAAAGGTCACATTTTGTTGATTTCAACGATTTTGAACACCCGACGGCTAACTCGGGAACCAATTATAGAGCTACAGCGCCGCGGAAAAGCGCATTCGATGGCTCTTTTAACGCTCTTTTGCTAAGATGTCCTCAAATTTGATCTCAGATCAACGGTTTAGCCCCCAGAGGGCACCGCTCTGATTGACCTCAAATTTGACCTCAGATCAACGGTGTTTTCACCGCTCTAGCACGTCTCTGTCAAAAGTAAAAAAAAAAAACTGCTGAAGACCTTTTATGTCCTAAAATGACCTCAGGGGCACACAGAGAGGTCACAGGTGCAATTTTCCGATTCAGTGTGTCATGTTTACCTATGGATCAATGTTTGAGAGAGTGTAGAACGAAATTGGTCCAAAAGAGGCGCATTTCAATTTTCTCCCATTGACTTATACCTAATGGAGCAGTCGCAAAATTGACCTGACCTTAGGTCACAGACAAAAATTCCTAGGTATCCATTTTATGCATACTGTTACCCTAAGCAATTACTGAAAGTTTTTAAAAGGTCGCTCAGTCGGTGTAGCTACAGCGAGCTTTCGATTTTTTTTTCTGAGGTAGGGTCACTTGACGTTACCTGGTGACCTGACCTTGAATGACGCTACGCGTCGCGTCGCCGTTTTTGAGATATTTGCGAAAAACCTTAGGGGGAATGGCGTAAAAACGCCCCCCCCCCCCCAGCACGGCGCGGGTGGTCGACATAGCGACTCGGACTGAACAAATGCCTTTAACGTTTCAACGGTTGAATAAGGTGAGAGGATTGAAGTAGGCCTGTATCGGATTTTCTTCTGCTTGTCGGTAGTTTAGGTTGAAGTTAATTTCGCGAGCTGTTCATAAACATTCAAGAGGGAAAATTCAGCTGCACATCGTTCGGGTCAAATTAATAGGTACCAAACACTCTCAAATTTTGTAGTAAAGAGCCAGTAGTCTACGCAAAAAAAAAAAAAACAATTAGAAAAGGAATAAGCGGACCGGTTTCGTCTATCAAAGACTTCTTCAGCGCTTTTTCAAAAATGTATAAGAAGAAAACTAGCACAGTGACAATCGTTTGAAATAAAGTTGGATTCAGTAAGAACTAAGAACTTCATTGTCCGAAAACCGCTGACAGTTGATAACTCAATGACACTTAGAGCCGTGCATAAGGAGGCGTGAAAACACTCTCCTCTTCTCGTTCTTTTACGAGAGGACCATGTCGTGGCGTGAGAAAGGTGTTCTCAAAATAAATGACACTGTATGAGTGAATGAATAATCCGCGCCCCCTTGGGCTATTGGCTGACCCTACCACCTGATCGGGTGGTGCAGCCGTTTCCCCTTCCACCTGAGATCTCGGAAAGTTACCGACCGATTTTGAACATTCAAAGAGCGTTCGATAGCCCCACCAGGGAACTGCCTTGTTACCAGGTTTCGTTGACCTATAGGTGCAACCCATGACGTCACAAGTCAGGTCAAAAGTCGCATTTTTTTCACCGATTTAGTCTAAGGAATGCGTTACAGTCAGTTAACACATCAAATAAAAGGCATGTTATCGAAAAACATCGATGGAACGTTGGTTGTCTAATACATATGGTGCCTGAAGAGGTCATTTATGCCAGGTCAGTTCACAGAGGTCAGGTCACTAAGGGTCACAATATGAACCTAACTATGCTAGGGTCGTGTGATACATGTTTTATGGCCAATTTTACATTTAAAATTCAATGGTGTGGGCTAGACGGCCATTGGAGCCAGTTTAGATTACATTCTGGAGGTCAGGTCAAGGTCAGGTCAAAGAAGGTCAAATTTCAAAGTTGATATTTTGCATAAAAGGGGTATCTATTCGATGCAGCTCATCACAAGAAATCAAATGGTGGTCTTTGACTTGCTCTGTGTGTTCTGTGACGGCTTAAAATTGAATTTGAAAATTGTACGTAATAAATTTTGAGCAGCTTTTTTTGCCATAACTTTGCTAAAAATGGAGCTATCGAGTTTAAGTTTGGCATATCTAGAGCAGATAGTTCTATAACATATATTTAAGTCTTAATTTTGAAAGTTGTTGGTATTTCCGGGGTGATATACCTACTTCTATAGTTTTGATGGTCAAAATCAATTTTTTGTTTGGAAATAAGAGTTAGCAGTTTGGTAGCGCTGTTTATTTTACATCTTTTTGATCATGAATATTCTACGTTATCTTCAAAACTGTAAGCGTGATAGCTCCTCCTGCTAAACCTTTTATTGGGTCGAAAATGACAGAACATGACACCCCTCTGACGTCATTTGTGGCTAACTTTTCATAAGAGCTCAGGAAAAATTTGGTCACAAGGTGTAAAAATGATGCCCGGAGGGGTCTTGAAAGTTTGGTGGCGACATTTGCTATACTTTAGGAGATATCGACTGAAAAGGAGAGAGGGGGCCGTTTCGCGCCGCTCTCCCCCCTCAACGAGGCTTTCAGTTGCTGCTCTCACAGAACTCTTGTTATATTACAACGTAGTGGAATTACAAGTGGCAGTATAAGCTTCCTGCCAGCGCCGGACCAGATTTTAAACATGTAGGCTGAATTGTAACATTTAACTTTTGAATTTTTAAACCGTTGAGCTTTTTAGAAGTTGTATGAGCTATTCAGCTCCTTTTTTGGTCCATCACAGCGGGCTTGTATGTCATTCTCAACCAAAAGCGAATTAAAAACTTTTTTATTTGGTCTGGCTACCTCGCCAACTTCTTAACTCGATCATTTAGTAGCTTTTGATTGCGCACTGCCCACGTTGTCTGTCTAGCTTTTCGTGTCATAGATACTGTCTATGACACGAAAAGAGGCTGCTGAGCTGACATCGTTTGTCGCGGTTGGATAATACCAATCCACGTCCCAGTGGCTGCTCGATCGCACTTTCCCTGGCCCACCTCTCCCACCAGGCTAGACTTTGCCCGGCACAGCCGTGGCCTCAGTGCCTCGGGCGGTGACCCGTTCAAAGGGGCTCACAATTCGTATGGTGCCGTGGCTCTCAAATCAATACAGAACAGTGAAACGCAAAAGCTCACTTTCCATATAAGGCGAACGGCTGATTCCGGCGCCGGGGCTTCAATCATGCTAAGGCGCCCAATCACAGCGCCGCATTTCAGTTAGTGTCGGGCGCAAAAGCTACTATGCTCCGCCCCTCCATCACGTGACCTTGCCCTCACGTGGCCTCAGTCACGTGGTGTTTCCACTTCTTGGCGCATGGCGGCGCTAGTCTCGCAGGGGCGGTGGTAGCTTGCTCCTCCGCCGTCCGGGGGTGATGGGTAGCAACTGCTGGTGACTGTACGCATCCTCTGGTAGGACCCGCGCTGTCCCCCGGTGTCGTCTGTAGTGCCGGTGCCGTGTCACCCGCTTTTGTAGTTACGACATTCGCCGCCAGGGGCTGACCCCGGCCCGTGACCGAGGTCGCGGGCGGGGTCAGTCTGCGTTGGTGCTCCGCACGAGCCGCGACGCTCCGTGTTGCGCGAGCCGCCGGTATTTCGAGGCGGCTTGTTTCCTCATGGAGGAACGGTTCAACAACCTTCTTGAGAGGTTTGACAAGTTGGAAAGCTCAGTGGCTGCAATCAGTGAGCATTTGAAGACCGACACCGCCGGTCGTCGGCTGGTCGACACTCAAGAATGCGCAGACACTCAGCCGCAGCCGTTCGGTGAGTCTGAAGTGGGCGCGAGCAGTGATCTGCAGACAGACTTTAAGAGCATTCGCGAAAGTCTGGCAAAGGTCAGACTTCCACCGGACTTGGTGGTCGGTGATTCAAGAGCAGGCGTCAGCAAGGCTGACTGGCCGAAGTTCCAGGTCATTCAGAAGTGTGCGCGGTATCAGGAGACCGTATTGAAACTGCTCTCTCAGTGTACAAGCAGAGAGCCCGTCCTCTCTGAACTATCGACTATAGCTATCGCACAACTCCGGTACCTGCAAGAAGAGTATACCAACCTGCTGGTGGCGAACCAGTTTGATGACGGGACGACCAGGCTGTTCCAGACGCTGCAGCAGAACCCGGCAGCTTTCACGCCGGGGGCGCTGGAAAATCTGCAGCGAGCCGTGTCCATCGCCGGAGCGCGACACAACCGGCAGGTCAGTGGCTCTGGAAGGTTCCGCGGGCGGGGCTCATTCTTCCCGTTCGCTTCTGGCGGTCCGGGCAGAGGCTACCGCCTGGACGCGGCGGGTCAGCGACCCGGCGGCGGCGCGGCGGGCTCGGGCTCCGGATCAGCTGACTGGAGGTTCCGCCGCGGGCGGTTCGGGTACGCACCCGGGCCGCGTGACCTGGCCGCCCGAGCGCAGCAGCCGGATGACGTCACAGGGACATTCTCAGCTGAGTAAACCATCACGTGAGTTGTGAGGGGAATTATGCCGCTGCATAAGGACGAGTGGGTGCGCATTGGGGCGCCTGATGCAGTTCTGGACTGGATTATGAATGGTGTGCCGGTGCCTGTGCGTGACATTCCAGAGCCCCGTGTCTTTGAAAATCCCTGTTTTAATGAACCAGAGAAAAAGTTTTTGGAAACTGAGCTGATGGCGCTAGAAAAGAGAGGTGTTATAGCAAAAGTAGCTGACGTGCCGCATTGTGTCTCCCCTTTGAAGGTTGTTCCAAAGAAAAATTCCAAATATCGCCTCATTTGTGACTTAAGATATGTGAATTCTCACTGTGATGTGCCACATTTTTCGTCAGAAGGTGTTTCTGTCCTGCCAGAGGTTATGAGAGGTGGTGAGCTGGCGGTCACTGTAGATTTAAAGGACGGATTTTATCATTTCCCTGTCCGTGAAGAGTTCAGAACGTATCTGGGTTTCCAGTATGGTGGATGCTGGTATGTGTGGTGTTTTCTACCATTTGGTTTGGTGGCTAGCCCGTACTATTTCCACAAATGTGTTCGTGTGGTCATAGAGTATATGAGAGGGACCGAACGCCTGTCGGTCATGGCCTACGTAGATGATTTTTTATTGACGTCAACGAAGAATAGAATGGCCAGTGACGTGAAAATATTTTTAGATACTTTAGCTTCATTAGGATTGTGTGTCAACTGGGAGAAGTCGTGTTTGGAGCCGTCAAATGTTGTGTCTTATTTGGGTTTCGATGTGCACTGTGCGTCTGAGGGTGAATTGCCGTTCATTACTGTGCCAAAATGCAAAGTGTCGAAGCTGAAGCAGGATATAGGTAGGATGTTAAAGCGGCCCACTGTGTCGGCGCGTCTGCTGGCTCGCATCGCGGGTAGGTGTATCAGTATGATGGCAGCGGTGTTCCCGGCCAAGCTGAAGTTGCGGAACATTTACCGTCTGTTGAATTCTAGGATGTCTTGGGACGAGGCAATGCCGTGGTCGCCCGAGGCCAGAGAGGATCTGGCGTGGTGGCTTACATCGCTGGACGGGTGGAACGGCCGGCTGCTGGTGCCGCCGGCCAGCTGCGACTTGCAGCTCTCCACCGACGCGTCCGAGACTGGCTGGGGAGCGACACTTTCCACCCCGGTCGCTCAAACCGCCTCGGGTTTCTGGCGGCCAGAGGTGAGCGCAGAAACGTCCAATTTTCGCGAGTTACTAGCTGTTTATTTTGCCTTACTGTCATTTTGTTCTACGCTTCGTGGCAAAACCGTCGAGATATTGTCCGATAATATCACGGTAGTCGCGCTCATTAACAAGCTTGGGTCAGCTGATCGTCGCCTGGACGCCATCGCTCAGAATATTTGGGAGTTTGCTTTTGAGCATCAGGTCATGCTGGTTGCGCACCACATTGCAGGATATTTAAATGTAGACCCCGATGAGCTGTCACGTATTCCGCTGCGTCACGAGTGGACACTCCATCCGGCTGTGTTCCAGCAGTTGGAGCGCATGTTCGGCCCGCACACGATCGACCGGTTCGCCTCCCTGTCTACGGCGTTGCTACCGGTCTACAACAGCCGCTTCAGGGACCCCGGTACCGCTGGTGTGGACGCTCTGGGTCAGAACGATTGGCAACAGCACAACAACTTCATAAACCCGCCCTTCCGGCTAGTCGCACGTGTGCTGGACGCGGTGCAGGCGCAGCGTGCCGAGGCCACGCTGATTGCCCCGATGTGGCCAGGCCAGCCATGGATGGAGCGGCTGCGGCGGCACAGCGTCTGCCCGCCGCTGCGGCTGCCGCCTGTGACGCAGGCCTGTATTCCACTGCTACCGCACCAGCAGATAGAGCCGCACCGCAACAGACGGTGGACTCTGTTCGCCTGGCGGATCTCTGGAGAGCCCGGTTAGAGGCGCTCGGCTGGTCTCCTGCTGCACGTGAGCAGTTCCCTCTGTGTTTGGCTCATTCCACTCACGCGAATTATGACAGATACATCTGTAAGTTTAAGGAATTTTGTAGAATACGTGAATTGATTTTTCCACCGGTAGATGGCGCGGTAGTGGCTGATTTCCTGGTAGGCGAGTGCAGTGTGTCTGACAGACCCCACTCTACGTTACGCTGCTTGTCAGCAGCCTTGGCTGCACTGTACGAGGTGATGGGAGTAGCCAACCCACTCCACGATCCCCTTCTCGTGCGTCTGTCTCAGGCCATTGTGAAAAGCGGCACACGGGCACCCATGACACGCCGAAAGATTTTCGGCCATCTGGCGCGACCCGTGCGGTGCAGCTCGGGTTTGACGCAGACGATGTGCAGCGTCTCGGTAGATGGAAGACCAGGTCGGTTTTCCTGGATCATTATGTTCACAATAGCGTAGATCCGTCGTTTACACAGCGTCTGTTCGAGTGACATGGCGGTGCATATGTGTGATGGGTGCTACGACGCGACGTTGTGATTTTTTCTCTCCATGGAATTGCATTTATGTTTGTTTGTACAATACATGTACGGGCTGGCGACGAATGTCTGTAACGTTGGTTTTAAGAAACCGTAGTTACGACATTCGCCGCCAGGGGCTGACCCCGGCCCGTGACCGAGGTCGCGGGCGGGGTCAGTCTGCGTTGGTGCTCATGGATTTGGAAGTTGACGCATGGAACATGATCTCGCCATAGACCAGTAACTGGAAAGGAGCTCGGTTCGTGCAAGTGCCACTGCGGCGCAGACGATTGCATTTATGTTTGTTTGTACAATACATGTACGGCTGGCGACGAATGTCTGTAACGTTGGTTTTAAGAAATTGTAGTTAGCACCAGTGCCGCGTCCTCCTGTAGCGCCGGTGCCGTGTCCTCCGTTAGGGCCGGTGTGGCCGGTGCCGTGTCCCCGGCAGAGCCGAAGTAACGGTGCCGTGTCCTCCTTTAGGGCCGGTGTGACGGTGCCGGTGCCACGTCCTCCGGTGCTGTCGGTAGGACCTGCGCTACGTCCCCCGGTGCAGTCGGTAGGGCCGATGCAGTGTCCTCCATTAGGGCCGTTGCTGCGTCCCCCGGTAGAGCCGGTGTGGCCAGTGCCGCGTCCCCCCGGTAGGGCCGGTGTGACTGTGGCCAGTGCCGCGTCCCCCGGTAGGACTGGCGCCGCGTCCCCGGTGTCTTCGTTAGTACCGGTGTCACGTCCTCGGGCTGCATCGGCAGTGCTGGTGTTGCGTCCTCCGTTAGGACTGTGCGGCCGGTGCGGCGTCCCCCAGTGTTGTCGTTAAGACCGGTGCCGCGTCCCCCCGGCAGGGCCGGTGTGACCGGTGCCGCGTCCCCCCGGTGCTGCATGTAGGACCGGTGACGCGTCCTCTGGTGGGGCCGGTGACGTGTCCACATCTACATAGGGCCCGTGTGACGAGTGCCGCGTCCCCCCGGCGCCGTCGGTAGGGTCGTTGACACGTCCCCCGGTAGGGCCAGTGTGGTCGGTGCCGTGCCCTCCGTCATGGATGGCGTTCTTCACCGCATGGATGACGCGCAGCGCTGCAAGATGCCGCACGATAGCCGCATGCCTGACGTGCGGCAGCCGCACCGCAACCGAACCGCATCAAAATCGCACTCGTGTGGGGCGGGCCTTAAGGCCGGTGTGACCGTGTCCCCCGTTAGGGCCGGTGTGGCCGGTGCCGTGTCCCCCGGCAGGGCCGGAGTGACGGTGCCGTGTCCCCCGTTAGGGCCGGTGTGACGGTGTCAGTGCCGCGACCCCCGGTGCTGTCGGTAGGACCTGCGCCACGTTCCCGGTGCAGTCGGCATGGCCGTTGACACGTCGTTGGCCGTGTCCTCCATCAGGGCCGGCGTGACGGTGCCGGTGCCGCGTTCCCCTGTGTCGTCGGTAGGGCCGGTGCCGTGTCCCCCGCTTTTGTAGTTAGCACCATATAGTGTCGCGTCTTCCGGACCACCGATGCCGTGTCCTCCCCTAAGGCCAGTGTGACTGGTGCCGCGTCCCGCGGTGTCGTCGGTAGGACCGATGCTGCGTTCCTAACTCTTGTTGGTAGAACCGGTACTGCGTCCCCCGGTGCCGTTGGTACGGCCGTTCCCCGTGCCGTCGGTCAGGCCGGTGCCGTGTCCCCCGGCAGGGCCGGTGTGACCGGTGACGTGTCCTCCGTTAGGGCCGGTGTGACCGGTGCCGCGTCCCCCCGGTGCTGTATGTAGGACCGGTGACGCGTCCCCGCTGCTGTAGTTAGGGCCGACTCCTCGTCCCCGGGTGCCGTCGGTAGGGCCGACTCCACATCCCCTGGTGCCGTCGGTATGGCCGTTGCTGCGTCCCCCGGTTGCGTCAGTACGTCGGTGGGGTCGGTGCCGCTGTCGTCGGCTTACCGGAGATAGTAGGCAAATCCACGTATGTTCTCATTTATGTGCTTGAATAATGCAATTTAAGCAAGAATGTCCGTACATACGTGTTTTGACCACGCGAGTGTTAACATCTTTAGATACCCATGATGAGGAGATATCTGGCAAAACCACGTATGTTTCCATTGGTAAGAAATAAAAAATCATTTACACAAGAATGCTTTGACATACGTGCTTTGGACACGATAAGTCCGAACAAACGTGTTTTTGCCTTGGCTGTCTACCCTTGGATATGACATACGTTTTTTTTGGAAAATGTTTTTTGGAAATATCAGTATTTTCAAAAAACTTTTTGTGAATATAATTCGCAAAACCAAATGCTCCGTTTCTTGGGCTATCGATCGGTATAAAAAACCATTTTTGACCAAAAAATGACATACGTGATTCTTCCTTTGCACGGCAGCGCGGATCAAATGCAGCCATTATCATTCGTTCCAACTAGCTCCAAGCGGCCGGAAAGACTACCCCTATCGCTAATCACCACCGGTACCCGTCATCCCACTTCTATCATGACCAGTACTCGTCATACCCCGTTCCTAGTCATTCCACCTCTACTGAGGTAAGTACTGGCCATCCCACCAGTAATACTCGTCATCCCACCTCTATGGTGGCCAGCATGGTGAGCGATGTGATGGCCGGCAGCAGGCAGAACGGGTCGGCCACCGTGAGGTCCACGAACCAAAGCATGCCGCCGTCCTTCAGCGATACCAGCGGCACGTTGGTCAGCTGTCGCAGACCGAAAAACACCGACACGAACACGGGGATCTGTCGGACAGAGAGGGGCGGGGGTTCGTGAAAACACCGACACGAACACGGGAATCTGTCAAACGGGGGGGGGGGATGGGGGAATGGTCAGCTGGCGCAGTCCGAAAAACACCGACACGAACACAGGAATCAGTCGGACTAAGAGGCAAGGGCAGGGGGCAGAGGGCTAGATGACGGCGAGGATGGGGTAGGGAGCCGGCGGGTCATGCATGGGCGTAGGGATCTGGGGACATCGCACATAGGCACATCGCCACGGAAGTTTGAGATAGCACTATATTTCTAGCTTTCTACCAAAGCATCACCAAAGAACAAATGAATGAATGAATGGATGAATGAATGGATGAATGAATGAATGAATGAATGAATGAATGAATGGATGAATGAATGAATGGATGAATGAATGAATGAATGAATGAATGAATGAATGAATGAATGGTTGAAGCAGGAGAAAGAATTCAGAGAAATTACATTACACAGCTACCTTCGCTTGTTCAATCACGTCTTGTTCACGCCATTTGTTCACGTAAGGACAGCCCAACAGCTGACTCACTAACCTGGGCCATGGGCACCAGCATGCTCTTCAGCGGGTTCACCTCCTTCTCCTTCATGAACAGCATCAGCTCGTTGCTCCAGCGCGCCGCTGCCAGAGGAAGGTGCGAATGTCAGGTGGGGTCATAGATACCGCTCAGGCCGGATCGCATGAAGGGGACTAGCTGACGCATGAGAACCGAGTCACAGAAAATATATTCATAATAGCACGGCAAACGGCTAAGGCCAGGAAGAGAGTTGAGCTTTTATGGACGATAACTTTTATATGTATAAACTTTATTGTAACTTTTATATGTATTTATATGTATTATATGTATAAATAAAGGAAAAACGAAACGAATGAGCTGAACAGCAATAACAAGACAACGGAGGAAAGTTTTAGGAGTCTGTTACGATGTGGCAAGACTCACGTTATCGGAAGCATAAAAAGGGCTTACCTTCCATTTCGTTACCCATTTGCCTGGCCTCAATCATTTTCATGTGGAGGCCCTGTAGCCGCGGCAGGTTGTTGTTCATGACGACGGCGTTCTTCTGGGCCTTCACCACCAGCGGAAACATGCAGAGACGAATGACTACCGTACCTGTCGGAAACACGCCGGTTGAAATATTTCCACATCCTTCGGAAACGTAGAGGTTCCAGGGATAAGTCATACCTAGTTACCGCATTTGTCTAAACGGGCTGGCCATGGGATAGAGGGGTACACGATGAGAATCACCAATAATTGAATAATTGACCGGATAGGAAGTTTGGATGTCAACAAACATTACCAATGGTTAATGAATGGTTTATGAGTATAAGTTACCTCGGAAACAGTACTCGTTCACCAAAGTGAGACGAGTCCAAACAATAGAACAAACAATATAATTCTCGGGGCATTCTTTCACTTTGTTCGCTCGTCCTCCCCTATCTCTCCCTCACCATCCTCTGCCACAGCCCTCCCCTGCCTGGCAATGTAGCCCCCCCCCCCTCCGCTTACCGACAGCGATGGCGCCCCACCAGGGCAGGCCGCCCGTCACGTGCAGCATCTCAAAGAACTGCTGGAACAGTCCCGGCGGGGTCCAGCCGCCCAGACCGAGCGAGCTCAGAGAGGGCTCGCCCAGTGCGTTCAGCTGCTGCAGCGGCTCCACCAGGTCGGCCACCGTGTCGGCCGCGCCGCTGGGTCACAGAGGTCGGGTCAGGTCATTCAGAGTAGTGACCGAGGTCATGGGTCATGAATGAATAGTAATATTTCAACAATGGTGGATTGATTGAATTTGGTGACCGATTCCAAAGAAAATATTAGGCGAGCTGGTAAAGTAATCATCTGGTTAATTCATTCCGGTGAACAATGGCGACTTCAACGGGCATGACCGTTGAACACGGAGCCCGAATGCTGTCAGGGTAAGCACGGTCAGTCTGTGTAAGTGTGTCCAAACTACATATTTCTTTCTATGAATGTGGGCGTGGTCAGTGCCTATGTGTAGGCGCCTCAGAGTGGGCGTGGTCTGTATGCATGCAGGCAATCCTTTATATGTATATGGGCGTGTCCGTCTCACCTAGGCGCCGTCGGGGTGGGCGTGGCCGCCAGTTCGTCGGCCCCGGGCGGCCGCGGCGGTGACGGTATGTAGTCTCCATCCGAGGTGTCCGTGCTCTGACAGTGGGCCGACAGCCAGAGAGGCGCCGCCCGCCAGCGCAGCGCCGGCCGGGTCACGGTGCGGCCCGCTGCCGCCCGCTCCGAGTGACCGAGCACGTGGTACAGTCGCACAGACAGCCGCGGACCACCCGACTGGGAGAAGAGGGGGGGGGGGGGTATCAGATGGGAGGCGTGAAGCTGGCACAAAACAGATCTACACATCAGACTTCAGAGGTAGTGTAAAACAAGTAATTCCAAATGAAAATAAAATTTAAGACGTCCACTTGAAGATCTGCTTCAACAATAGAATGATAATAGGCATTGACATTCACAGAGCTTTTTTTCCCAAAAAGTTGATAGGTGGCTAAGAACTAGGAGCACATAGCAAGGCATAAAACACACTGGTAAAATAGATACTCCATCATGAATATAAAAAGGGGTATAATTATCTTAAGCTATTGCAGCTATCTACTCTACTTACCAATTGTGGGTATTTCACATATTTTGTAGAAGTTCTACAGTCAGCCAAGATGACTCTGAAAACTCTTGATGCCAGCATTGCAACTTTTTCTAGCTATCAAGTTGACAAATGGCAACACACAAAGGTCTGAAACTAAACACAGTTCAGGTCCAACATAAGTAAAAATGTTTTAATCAGCTCACTGACAAGGTAAAAGTCTACCTATGTAAACAAACAGGTAGCAACAGTCATGACCTTATCTGGATTTTAATGCTGATAGTTATTGCTGATTGCTGTTGAACTTATGGCTTATATAAGGATTGTTGATTGATCTAATGCTTTTCTCTATGACCAAAACTGGCCAGAAGACATGTGCCACATGTTGGTTGTAAGGCTTTAAAGAATCAGTGAACTTTAACCTGACTTTGCCCCTGCAAAATACTTTGTATGAGCTACATGCTTCCATAATAGTTTCAAAAGCCTTTTGTTGACATTAATATCAACACTAAGCTCAACATCGAATATCTTCAATGCTGCATCAATTTCTTGAATCCTAAATATACTGTTCTGACCTTTGATCTGGCCTTGATTCACCAGCCACATGACCTCAAAGCTCATATACCAAATTTCAGGATCATTTAAGATTGATCAGACATTTCCAACACCTCCTTGTATTACTATACACCTATACCCAATCCTTAGTTTCAAAGATAAGCATCAACTACCTAGCTAGCCCCATTGTGATTTTTTTGTGACATCTATTTGGGGGAATAACGGGTTAGTGACTGCTTCTTGGCTACATTTTTATCATATTCATAGTCTAATGCAGAGAACAATTAAAAAAATGATCCTCGCTGCCAGTTAAATATGTTTATTATTGTGTTATATAGGTATAATTTTGTGCTATGAAAGGATGGCCCAAAGATTGTTTTTGTAGAAAAAAACACCCTTAGGGCTGAGGTAGACAATTTCAAATAATGAATTTGAAAATAGTCGGATCTGAACAAAAATAGCAGAGGTCACTCTCAGCACTATTCTCATCATGAATCTGCCAGGCATTTGATGCGCATTTGCTTCAATTAGGGTGCAGATCTGCTTTTGTATGGGGCCGTACCCAAATCTGCTATATTTGGGTACGATAACGTCACATGCGTACCCATTTTTAGCAGATTTCTGCTAAAAATAGCAGACTGCTAAAAATAGCAGATTTTACCATAGTTTCCCCGACTGAATTAAATAAAACATGATCCTCACTGCCAGTTAAATATGTTCATTATTGTGTTATATATAATTTTGTGCTATGAAAGGATGGTCCAAAGTTTGCTTTTGTAGATAAATCACACTTAGGGCTGAAGTAGACACTTTCTACATCAGGAAATCACAAGCTAGAGGCAAAACTAATGCATAAAATCATGCTCGCATCAATCATTTCATACACATCTCTGACCTCGAACTCGTCCCTCCCTAGTCCCTGTTGGTACATGATTGATGCGAGCGCAATTTGACATATTTGAAAAGGCTCTTGCATGCTATTTGCTGCAGATTATGGAAGGAGTCTGTCTCAGCTTTAAGGCACAGGTGATCCAGTACCTAATCTTGCAGGTGATCAGGCTGGGCATATTTAAAAGGCAGGTGACCCCCCACCCCACGGCATTTAACGGCAATCTTCCATAAAGGCACGGTGACTATCATAAAGGTACCTTTGGCTTTGCCGATAGTTAGCACTTAGAAACAAGGGCGGCGCCACCGTGGGGGCAGTGGGGGCAGACTGCCCCCACTGGCAGGAGGCCGTGGGGGCAAGACTATGTTTTTGCCCCCACAAAATTTGGCTGATCTTGAAAAGGGAACAGAAGACCGGTGGTGCAACATTCATGATAGGCGGTTATAATAGTACGCCTATTTTTGACGGTCCCCCCGTATCAAGTGCATTAGCAGAACGTTCGTTCTCGGACCGTCTGTCGCATATCCCCTACTCCCACTCATTCTCCTTATACTCATTTTCATTCACCAGTAGGCTGCCCTCGAGCTTGACCTCGAGAAGGTTGAGAGGCAGTTTGTCAAAAGTCGGCCAGAGAAGAGATCACCCTCTTAATTGGGAACCCTTAGACTGAGACTGAGCTCAGGGAGGTATGACAAAATGTAATAGGTATGTATATCCGGGTTACCTGGAAATGTATGTGGGTCGCCCTAATGGAGCTTATACTGAATCGTGTGTGAGAGAATCGCACATATACGTACTACGGAAAAAAAAAGAAAACTAGGTAGGTACTGACTATTGTTTTGAGGAACACACCATTTTACATCTCAACGAGCAACATAACGTTTTCACAGGTTTGTGTCTCGCAATCTAGTTTTATAGTTTTATTTGCTCGCGACCTTAACCCGGCCGGGCCCGGGGGTAATCCCAACCTCCGCAGCCCGGGGGTAGCCCCCCACCTGTCTAACTCCGTAAATAAAGCAGCTACGGAAACAAAAAATGGTACCAAACGAAAGGTACCTACGAGAAAATTCTAAAGCACCTCAACTTTTTGACCTCAGGTCAATGTTCAAGGTCAGAAGTCAAGGTCAAAGGCACAAACCGACACTTCTGTAGTGGTCTCAAAGTACGTGTTCCAGAGGACGGTATGGTGCATAAAACGGCTAAAATGGATGTTAAACGAAAGAAGAGAGTCTGGGGATTCTGATAATGTGCATAACATTCAAATTCAATGTCACGGTCATGCTTAAAATTGACCACAAACTTTGCACTTTTTCTTATATCTTGTATACTAAATTCCGAGATGTTTTGAAATGTTTTGAAGCTTAGCGGACCCCTATTTGTGCATTAGCTTACGATACAAGGCTGCTACAAGGTCAAAGTCACAAGAGAGTATCCTTGCTATAGGCTATTTCGCTTTTTCAAGTCAGGCATAGACCTTTCATGTGTCAAAGTCAACCAGAGGTCATTCGACGTCATATGAGGTCAACATAAAACTTGACCTTTTCCAAACAATATATATGTTATTCGACGCGGTTTCAACGAGACAAATGCGAAGGTACCACTACCGTAGCTCTAGGACCATTTTTGTTGAAGTTATTTGCGAAAAAAAACTAAAGCTCCAGCTCGAGGTCGTTGACCTGACCCCTGAGTTCTGACCTCAGGTCACCGAAGTTACTTAAGTATTGTTTTCTAGGTCAAATGCTACACAACCGTGCTCGTTATTTGTCTTTATCTATAAAACTCTATTTTTGGCAGCTGGTTGAAGTTCACGTCTGTGACGCCGAAGTTTGCCGTGGAGGAGTCTAGAAAAATCGGCCCTGAGAAATTATCAAAGATGCTAGGTCCAATTGCTTTTTGCTTCAAAAGATGTCAAATATATGGAGAATAAGGTACAGCGAGTTTCCTCTTTCTATCCCTAAGCGTTCATGAGGTATCGCAAATATTCGCCAGCGGGAGGCGAATAACACCCCCCCCCCCTTCCCTTCCGGGCCCGCGAGCGTTAGGTTCAGGGTTGTGCTTGACTCATGAGTCGAGTCAGAAATTTGACTCAACTCTGACTCAAATGAGTCAGATTTGAGTCGAGTCGGATAAACTGTTGAGCTGTTGAGTTGAGTCAGAGTTGAGTCGGACAAAAATATTAAGGCGTTGAGCTGAGTCAGAGTTGAGTCAGCAAAATAGCTTTTGACATTGAGTTGAGTCAAACATTTAAAAACACGAGTCAGTTGACTCAACTTTCCAGAAACAGTATATATATATATATATATATATATATATATATATATATATATATATATATATATATATATATATATATATATATATATATATATATATATATATATATATATATATATATATATATATATATATATATATATATATATATATATATATATATATATATATATATATATATATATATATATATATATATATATATATATATTATATATATATATATATATGTTACGGGTCATATGCTAACTTGGGCAGTATGCAAACTACCCGGGCAGTATGCATACTACCCAACAGCCCGGGCAGTATGCATACCGCCCGGGTAGTATGCATACTACCCGACCCCTTGGGCAGTATGCATACCGCCCAAAAGCTTGGGCAGTTTGCATACTGCCCGCTTTCCGACTTAAAGTTGTGTAATCCATGTCCACATTAAGAATATAAATGGCTCTCTAGATAACAATAGATCGACCGAGAAGAATTTTTGTCGTCAAACGTGATTGATCGATCGTAGGATGAAATGAGGATTGGAATAAAGTGTTGAAATTACTTTTTCCCAAATCCATTGTTAAATAACCAGTGGCCAACAAGTCATTGTCATTGTGAAGTGTGAACTGAGTAAAATGAAAGGACGACGACAAAATTTGACGTCATCAATTTTGAACAGTTCTTTTTTCGCTATAACTTTGCCAAAAAAAGAGGAATCAATCTCAAATTTGGTATGTGGATAGAAGGCGGTAGGGACTATCACATATTTTCCGTTTTTTCGAAATTCAAAAAAAAAACTTTTTGGATTTGTTGCCTATTATATTCAAAAAATTACTTTTTTGATTTTCGGGGGGGGGGGTCAAAATCCAAAAATTTAAAAAATCCTAAATAGCAGTTTTGTAGCCCTCTAATTCGACATCTTTTATACCTATTCTTAAACATTTTCTGTATCTATAAAGCTGTAGGCCTGACAGCTCTTCCCGCGAAACCTTTTTTGGGTCGAAAATGGTAGAAATGACGTCACTCCGACGTCATTAGCGGCCAACCTATCATAGCCTTTGGAAAATTTTTGTCACAATGTGTAAAAGCTACGATCCCGGGAGGGTACTGAAAGTTTGGTGGCAATCGGCGCAGCGGAATTCTGGAGATATATCGAAAAACTAAGGGGGGACAAAAAATGCCCCCCCTACCACCCGGAAGGTTAAAACGTTTGTCATTCACATATATACGCGAGTTATTGCATTAACAAGCCTCACGAAGTGTAGTCAACATACTGCCCGAGTAAACATCTTGCCCGTGAGAAGAAAGGTGGGTGGTATGCATACTACCCGGGAGGTATGCATACTGCCCGGGCGGTATGCATACTGCCCAAGGGGTCGGGTAGTATGCATACTACCCGGGCGGTATGCATACTGCCCGGGCTGTTGGGTAGTATGCATACTGCCCGGGCAGTTTGCATACTGCCCAAGTTAGCATATGACCCGTAACATATATATATATATATATATATATATATATATATATATATATATATATATATATATAATATATATATATATATATATATATATATATATATATATATATATATATATATATATATATATATATATATATATATATATATATATATATATATATATATATATATATATATATATATATATATATATTCTTAGTCCTGGCTTTGCTGCCAGATTTTTTCACCTCCCCCCGCTCAACAACTTAGGTCAATTTTGAGTCAACTCACTTGACTCAACAAAAAATTTGAGTCAAGTTTGAGTCGACTCATATTTTCATCGAGCCGCTTGAGTCATGAGTCGAGTCAAGGGAAAAAATCAGTTCCTTGTTTGAGTCAGAGTTGAGTCAGGACTTTTTGAAGTTGAATGATGAGTCGAGTCGGCACATTTTTTTGAGTCGAGCACAACCCTGAGGTTAAAGGGACTGTCCCACCTTAACATTAGATTTGAGTTGAGATAGCCATCTTGATGGACGTTCTTTGAAAATCAGTGCCGTGAAAACCGTTTCTCCAGCAATTACTTCATCGCAAAGAAATTTGAGTTTGATTTTGACATCTGTACAAATAAGTGCCACAATGTATTGGTATAGGCACTTAAATCTGATGACGTCATCAGGCTTTCGAAAGTCCGTAAATGTTTGACTAAAACGTTTTGTAGCACGCGGTGGTATATGCTGCGTTGCGCGCAACAAATGCCGCACTTTTAAATAAAGTCGCTAGGAACAGCGGAGATCCCAAAAAGTAAACAAAAGTAAAAGTCTAATATCTTGAAAACCGGTGAATATTTTTCGGTGAAATTTGGTAGATATTCGTTTTCGCTCTTTCTGAACCGAGCGACATCACTTTCATGCCAATTCATAAACTTTTTTAAAGGTGGGAGGGTCCCTTTAAGCTCAATACGTATGCATGAAACCTGAAACCATAATAATTTTGAATGGCAACCTAGGGGCAAGGTGGTCATGGATTTTGCAGATCGGCGTATCAGACAACAGTCCGCGGGTCACCTCAAGCTTGCCCCCACTGGCGAAAATTCGTGGCGCCGCCACTGCTTAGAAATCCAATACCAAGCAGCAGTGGTTAAATAACACACTATGATTCATTAAAAAATTAACTATGCCAGGTAGGGTAGGATTTGTTTAAAAGAGAAATAAATATAATAATAATCCCACAACATACAGCTACCCCACGCCACGAAATAAACCTCTACATCTACGCCAGGGCATCAGCATACTGATACGGCCTTGCCTCAACGCTTTTTCTTGTGCGAGTTCCCCTGGAGTTTCTTGGCCACTCATTGGTGAGTTGTTAACGCAACTTAAATCATTGACCAATGAAAAGCCGAGATATGCCAGCCGGCCGGCAGCATATTGATAAAAAGCAATAATCGAACAGCATTCTCAATTCCATTTAATGTCGCAGGTGCGCTGTTTTGATAATGAACTCTAGTCTCTAATTGTCAACATCGTCCTCATATATATTTCCTTCATTATATGCTTTCACCATGCTTTTCCAGAAATTTTACTTTTAGTATTTTTCATGTCAATTTGTTTATTTTTTAATAAAAAGAGTTTTTGAAAATCCGTTTGCTTTGGCAATATTTGGTTTGAAAAAATACGTGTCCCTTTTATTCGGAAAATGCGCACTTGTTACATTTGTGATGCGAAAAAGAGTAAAACATTACGGGAGGTGGGCGGTGCTATGTGTAGTTCTGTGTATTGTATTGTATTGTATTTCAATTACGGCCTTGATTTCAATTTGTATTGTATTTACATGCGATCCACATTGACATTCCACATACCATGCGCGTGGCGATTAGGTACTGCTCAGAATGTGTTGTGTGTTGTGTACCGTGCCGTTCTCTTGCTGAATTTCGCTCGTATTTTGATAATTGCTGTGCATTTTTTTATACATTACTAAGATTTTAGGAACTGCTTGTTGACCATAAGTAAGTGAATAAGAGGGGCGCAATAGGTAATCTTGCCTTGCCCTGCAGGGCACCAGTACCAGGTCTGACGCAGCTTTCCAAAATTATATTATCATTATAGAGTTGGGTGTCAGCAGTCAGAGTTGCATATCAGTTGATCCATATTGTCAAGCCGAACACATCTAAGGCAGTTTCATCACTCAAGCATGCCTCTATCAGATCTTAGCAAAAAACAGATTCGTGTCCTGAGATGACCTCACGGACATACAATGGGTAACAGCCAGCAGGTGTGGCGGCCTGGGCAGGTGCCATTTCCCGGGGCCAGACGCCGGTTCAATGTGACATGATTAAAGAGGCACTTTCATATTTTCTTACTTGACTTATAATGGAAAGGGCTCAAAATAACCTGACCTCAGGTCACTGACATCTAAATTCCGATATATGAATTTTGTACACACTGTTGTTTTTATTGATTGCTGAAAGTTAGAGTGATCATTTTTTTGTGGCTATTGCACTTTGCAGGCATTTAAACTTTTTTGTGAAGTGAGATCTCTTGGTGTGGCAAGGTGATCTGACTTTCAGTGACATTGGTCTGAAATTTTTACAGTATGTCAGTAGGCGGAACTATGGTCAAGCGTACCCATTTTCGGGAACGCATTTTCGTTCCCATGTTTGGGAACGATAAACCCAAATATGGGAACGCCATGTAGGCATTATTTAAAACAAGAAAAGGAACCGTTAAATGACGTCCAAAAAATATAAAACGATCGTGAACCGCCTGATATTTGTCTCAATATTGTTGGGAAAGAGTTTGATATTGTAAGGCCCATCGTAGTTTCAAATCGTTCGCCTATTTCTAAAGCAGTCCATCATCCGGGCCGCGAGCCCAAATTTGGGAACGCTCTCGTACACTGGCGCTGCAAGCGTTCCTTATTATGGGAACGGCGTACCCAAAATTGGGAACGATTTCACCGACGCCTTTCAGGGGCTCTTTTCATTAACAAGCATCACGTCCAACGCCGCAAATTATTGTTAACGCAACAATCATCAGATGACCTTTCCGGCAAGACCGTCGCATGTTTCGCCCGGTCTTCTGCGCTTTTATTCCCGTCGATCTCGCAGCGGGCACGCGGGCACGCCCCCCTCTGCAGGATTACGTAATTCACAACGCTCAGCGATGTTCAACAAGGTCTTCCATGCTTATATCCACCGTCCGCGCCGAGGGTGGAGACATGTCAAGCACCTGTCTGTTTATCACCGATAGTTGACGAGCACAAGTGAGTATCCAAAAATGGGAACGCTGAAATGTTTCACTCTCAAAACACCTAGTCCCAATATAAATCTACTTTTTTCCTTTCTTAATGAGTGTAAGTGGCAAAAGGCCTGGTAGGATGGGCACGAGAAATGATCAAAATTAGCATGAAAATTATAAATAAGGCACATAGGGCGACCTGCATAAAAGAAATTCCCCCAAAACGATCGTACCCCCAAAATACCGAAGGCAAAAACCACGCTCATGACGCTCCTTAAAAGCAACGCTAAACAGCTAGCATCCAAATAAAATATGTCTTTCAGGGTTGATAAAATACAGCTGAATAATTTTAAACCACTTAAACTGAGTTTATAACAGTAGTTCGGTAAATTCACTCGCGTTCCACGCGGTCGTCCGCCCCGACACCAAAAGTCAGCAATATTACCTCGGGACCGTACGCGTCTTCGCTTGCATTTGTCAGGATCTGGTGTCGATAGTATGAAAGTTCATAACCAGGCGAAAATTATTATAGTTGACCTCAAACTAAAAAATGCTTCATTTTCCTTAAAATTGCATGCTAAATGTCGTATAACCCATATTTCCACCATTCTGTCATTTTTAAAAAATCATTAGAAATATCATTCCACGGTCAATTTCCTTGTTCCACGGTCAGATTAAAGATAACTTTATGGAGATTTAGTAGAGACGTTAATTAGCATGCACTTTTTCGAGACGTGATGCACTAATGAGTTTTAGTGCGCGAACGGCCGAAAAATTGCCTTCCGTAGTCATAAATGGGAACGCTCGTTCCCATATTTGGGAACTCCGTTCCCAAAAATGGGAACGTTCCTATATTTGGGTACTCATGACCATAGTTCCGCCTACTGATGCGCGGAAAAATGTAGGAAAGGTGTTCCCGAAATGGTGGCACTTTGCTCTGCCGTTTTTTATAGATATTTGCAAAAAAACACAAGGGGTGTTCAAACACCCCCAGCAGGGTGCAGCTTATTGGAGTTAGTTATATTGTTGCAAGGACTTGGCCAATAAAGTGTTGGTAAGTTGATGAAGAGTAGAGTATCTACAGCATTGTTTAGAAAATGCATTGAATGCACTCTTTCTCCGTTTCAGCAATTGACCATGGACATGGAGTCTTCAGTTATTCGAAAAGAAGCTGAGCATGCTAGTAATGACAGGAGGAATGGTGATAAAGCCAGCAAAGCAAATGGAGCAGCAATAGACCCCACTATCAAGGAACTGTGCTCTACTGAAGAGATTGATGCTCTGTACAAGAAGCTTTCTGTGGATGAGGCAAGTGAAAGGCTGAGCTAGTACCTACATAGGTATTGCTAATTGTAATAGGACTGACAAGCTGCTTGAGCCTTGATGTGATGCAAAGAGGGTCTATGGTCTGAAATAGATATTGTCTTAGCTGGAGCGCTGACCTCCCAGTCCCCAATTCCATGTGTCTTGGAGAGGCTGGATTCCTAAATGAAATAATGACTTCCTGTGCCTACAGGAGAGGCCAGAGTCATGAATAGACTGCTTTAGCTGGAGTTCTGACTTTCCTTGCCTCCAGGAAAGGCTGGATTTAAATGGAGACTGTAATTTTCATGTCCACAAGAGAGGCTTGAGTCTGAAATGGAGTGCTGACACTCCCCAAGCCTGCAAAAGAGGCTGGAATCTAAAATGGATACTGTTTTATCTGGAGAACTGACTCTTCTTGCCCACAGGAGAGGCTGGAGTCTGAAATGGAGTACTGTTATCTCTGTGCCCACAGGAGAGAATGTAGTCAGATGTGAACTGTGATCTCTGTGCCCACAGGAGAGAATGGAGTCTGAAATAGAATACTGACTTCCCCATGCCCACAGGAGAGGCTGGAATCGGAGATGGAGGCGCTGCTGGACCAGCGCTGCCACCTGGGCGCCAAGATGGCTGGCCTGCAGAAGATGGCACCCAGCCTGCAGTTTGTGCACGCCGACGCAGACCAGCTGAGCAAGATGATCTCTTTCACCACCACCCTTGCCATCGACGTGTCGGCCAAGGTCCGCCAGCTCGACAGGGCCAAGGTAACGAGACTGCAGCGCTGTACGACGCTGGGCAGAAGGATAACTATCACATCCTGCTAGTCTGATGTAATCGCAAGTAGTGGGACTTACTTGGAGTGAAGTCTAATGTAGACGCACCGGCACACGTGCAGTCGTCTCCTGCAGACGGGCCCCGTCCAGTCCGTCTGCGATCGGTCCGTCTCAGAGTCCGAGTCCGTCACGCTCACTCCGCCCGCGTCCCGCACACTCCGCCAGCCCACTGGCGCGGGCCGCGTGCCGCGCGACCGACCGGTCACGTCCCGCCCCGGGCGACGCACGGGCGAGTCCAGGCAGTCTCGGGGCTGCGCACGGGCGCTCCCAGGCAGCTTGCCGGGGCGGTACGCACCGAACTTAACCTAACACCACACCCCCACCTGATCTTCAAGATCACTTAATTATGTTGCGAATCCACACAATAACCAAACTCGCAGCAGAAGCGTTTCACTTCGACTGGTCTCCGTGCGCTTCGACGCAGACCACTTTGCTCAGTCGCCCCTGGTTCCGCCGAAGAAGTCTCAGGCGCCGCTCCAACGGCCGCCGGTGTCAACACGGCCGATGACGTGCCAGAAGAAGATGCCGCGGGTGCTACAGTCGCCTCACTCCCCGGCGCTCCACCAACCGCCACAGCCGGGTCGCCGGCCACGATGGCCGCCGAGTCGGGGGCCGCGACGCTCGTAGTGATGAGCAACGGCGGATCATCAACCGCGGGCCCGGCGGAGCACCGCGTCACGCCTCGCTGCGCAGCCGCTCCATCACGGTGCGGAGAGACTCCCTGCCGCCGCCGCAGATCTTTGACGTGACGGGGTACCCCGTCCACTTCTACCACCCATGGTGACAGCACGGCGGTTACGACGCCCGGCCGTGACCTGTCTGTGCATCGAGAGCCCTGCTGGCGGACCCACACCGGCTCGCCGGCCACCAAGCCTCTCACAGGCTGGTGCACATCCTCCGCTGCACCTTCGAGCGAGCGGTCAGCGTGTTGCACACAATCTCGCACACGGTATCGGTAGACGCCACTTGCAGGTGACTCCTCTTCATTCTCTCCGTCCCGTGGCGTGATATTGTAGATGTGCACTGCCTCCTCAATGGAACACCTCTTCCTAGCAGCAATCACCTTTACCGTGCGGTGGTTACGCTCGATGATGCCATTACCAGCTGGAGCATACGCTGCTCTGAATCGCAGCGCAATGCCCCATTTTGCCGCAAACGCCGCGAACCGATGCCCGCGGAAAACTGTGTCGTTGTCGCAGAGTATTTCACACGGCGCACCGCGTTCACAGAAAACTCTGTTCAGGAACTCGGTCACAGCTTCAGCGTCTGGACGGCGCAGCAGGCCCCATAGACAAAACCTCGATGGACCACAATCGATAAGTGACAGGTACGATTGAGACTGATAGTGCGTGATGTCGATCGCCAGGCGCTCCCACAGCCCGCTCACCTCGAGAGACCCATGCGGTAGCTGAACGGGCGCCGGATCAATGGACTGACAGATGTCACACCGGGACACCACCAGCTGCACGTCGGCACGCCTGACGCTCCTCGTCACATCTCGGCGCGCAAAATACAGTGTTTTGCGGACGCCAGGATGACCAGCTCTCTCGTGAACATCCCTGATTGCAGCTGATAGAGTCTCTCCAGCGGGCACGACCACGGCAGCAGCCACAGTTGTGCGATGATCAGCACGGAGCCACTCTCCCGGCACACGTGTCAGCGCATCGGCACGATTCTCGCAGGAACGCACCAGCGTCACAGAGACACTGAGGGACAGCTCCTCAACAAGCTGCCTGACGATGCCGACCCTCCGCCGGATCAGCAGCTCACTCTGCGCCTTCGTGCGGAGCCGCGCGCGCCCGGTCAGTGCGTCACTGAGCCATCGGTGAACATTCACAGAGTCCGTGCGTAGCTCGACGTCCTTCATCCCCCATGCCACGGCAAGGTTTAAACCTCGGACTGCGGCATCTAGCTCCGAGAGGTTAATGTGCGAGCTCTCGTCTCGTCGCAACCAACTGGCGTCCTCGATCGCGCAGCCCTCTGGTGTCGTGATCACCACTCCTTCCGCCAGAGAGCTCGCGTCTACCCACACGACTGCAGCATGGCCGTTCACACACCACGGCCCACGGACCGGATCGCATTCCGCAATCCGCGTCGAAACATCCTGCATCTGATCCCGGAGAGCGTCATCTTCGACCTCGTCATCCCACCCACGCGTCAGGCCGTTCACCCTGCGCTTGAGAAACGCAGCCGCGGGGCGCAGCCAGCCACACACTGGAAAATGGGCCACGATTTTGCCGCACCAGGAAAACACGGCACGCCGGGTCAGTCTGGCAGGGGGAGCCTCGACCGGACTGTCTCGGGCCCACTGCAGTCCATCGTGTCCACTGGACACACGCAGGCCCAAGACACGCGCGCCGTCAGCTGCTCGCACGGGCGGCTTACAATCTAGGCCAAACCGACGGAAGTGATCGATAACATACTCGGCATCGACGACCGATTCGTCCACGAGCAGGTCATCCACAAAGCCCAAGACTCCACGCTCCACCAGTGGGTCCTGCTCCAGAATCGTCTTCACGACGGCACGCATCACTTCCGGCGCTACGCTGAGACCGAATCTCATCCGCGTCAGGCAGAAGCGCTCACCATCCAACATCACCGTCTGGAAGGGCCACAAACGCTCGTCCACGTGCAGCTGCAAGTACGCTCTGCGAAGATCAACGACGGCCACATTTTCTCCGCGTCTGCGCCAGCGTCTCAACTGCTCAGCGCAGACGTCGGCCTCAGCTGTGTGAGCCGTGATGTGCGAGTTGAGCTCTCTGTAGTCCATTACGGGGCGAACCTTCTACTTGTTAGGCTGATTGACTGCCATCAACGGAATAAGTCCACGTGGAGGTCCAAGCCGCGACTCATCGTACCGAACCAGCCAGCCGTTCGCCACCCACTGACGAAGCTCTCCGTCAAAGTCCGCACGAATGCCTTCAGGAATATTGTACATCGCGACCTGATTTTTCAAGTATTCTGGGGCGGAACCAGCGGACCACTTCCAGGATACCTTCCAGGTCCGCTCCCGCCGGTCGAACTGCACTTTATAGTCAGGGGCATCGACAGAAAGATCGGCCTCCAACGCAACAGCGACACCGCAGAACACTACTTCTGTCGGTGACTTGACGCTGACTCCACCCAGAGCTGAGATCCCGTCCATGCCGAGGATCATGTCCACTCCCAGAGGTTCCTTTTCCATCACCAGCACCGAAATCTCCGCCATCTGTCCAGGCGATGTATCCACGGTGACTCGACCCACACCGTTGCAGGAGAGCTTCTCATCGCCCACCGTCGTCACGGTCACAGAGCGTTTAACAAAACGCTCACAGCACGACAGATGGATAATATTATCAGTGCACCCTGAATCGACCAGCGCAGTTCGCCAATGACCATCCACCAACAGCCGTGTGATTGGCAGCACGCCGCTCAGTGTCGAGTTGGAGAGGACGCCGGCTGTGACGCGTCCTCCCCTGCCAAGTTTCCCGAACGTCGGGGACAGCCGGCCGCCAGATGCTCGACACTTCCACAGGTCCAGCACCGCCTGCGGCGCCGCACACCTGCTGGCACAGTCGCAGCGGTTGCAGCATGGGCCTCGACAGCCGGTCTTTCAGACGGCATCCCAGTCCCCGACTGAGATGGCATCGTCGATCTCAGACGGCGACGATCTGCCACACCTGCCGCCGCGAGCTGCGCCCGTCCATCACTCAACAGCGCCCTCGTCATGACCAATGCAGCGGTCAAGTCGAGCGAGTCGGCGCGCGAGCTGGCTCGGACGGTGTGGCGCACCGGCTCAGGCAAACCAGCTACAAACTTGCACACCAACGATCTGTCCGGCATGCCGCCGAACAGCTCGGCCAATCGACGAAGGTCGGCAAGATACACATCAGGAGATTCCCCAGCCTCCAGCCTCCGGGACTCAAAACGCTCAAAGGCAGCGAACTGATCCAGCGCAAAAGCTGCGTAGAGAGCCTGCCTTATCGCGTCCAGGGAGAACCGATGCTGCGACTCCATCCCCTGCCAAACAACAAATGCGTCCCCGGCTAATCTCAGCGGCAGGTGAGACTCCGGTGCAGCCCCCCCTCAGCTGACAGAGCATCTCTGCTCGCGTGAACCACTCTACAACATCAGCAGATCCATCAAACTCGGGAATCAGTCTGGCGTCGAAACTCATTGCAGCCACAGGAGCCGAAGGCTGCATGGGAAACGGCACGGCAGAGACAGACGTCAGCGGCCCGGTCACCGACGACGTCACACTCAGCATCGTCGATGGAACGGCGGTCGTCACACTCACAGAGACCATAGATGAAGTTCCAGAAGTACCCGGCGCTGAAGTCGACATCTTGAAGAGCCGAAATAGCTTGTAATCGCAAGTAGTGGGACTTACTTGGAGTGAAGTCTAATGTAGACGCACCGGCACACGTGCAGTCGTCTCCTGCAGACGGGCCCCGTCCAGTCCGTCTGCGATCGGTCCGTCTCAGAGTCCGAGTCCGTCACGCTCACTCCGCCCGCGTCCCGCACACTCCGCCAGCCCACTGGCGCGGGCCGCGCGCCGCGCGACCGACCGGTCACGTCCCGCCCCGGGCGACGCACGGGCGAGTCCAGGCAGTCTCGGGGCTGCGCACGGGCGCTCCCAGGCAGCTTGCCGGGGCGGTACGCACCGAACTTAACCTAACACCACATCTGATCACTGAGACAGATACTTTCCACCGGGTCCCATCTCTTTTTGTTTTGATGTTTTGCTATCAATTTTGATGCGAAATTATTTTGAAACTATGACGTTATTTGTGAGTTGCATTACACGTTCAAATTATGTGAAAGTGTCATCATTCTTTGTAGAATCCGTCATGAAGTTGTCATGATTTTAATCATGAATTCGACCTTCTCTGCTGTGTGAGAGAGTATACTCTCTCCCGCATCCCGTGCAACCCTTTGTCACTCCTCCCTCCCGTCTCCCTCAGACGCGTGTGGCCGCCGCGCAGCAGCGGGTCAATGACCTACTCGACCTCAAGTCGTGTGCCGAGGGCGTACAAACAGCTCTACAAGCCGAGGACTTTGAGCAGGCCGCCGCGCACGTGCACCGCTTTCTGGCCATCGACGAGTCGGTGGTGCGTCTCTCTGAGGCGGGCGAGGCGGCTGCCGGCCGCGCGGGGGATAGTCTCAGCTCGGCTTTTGCGCTCCTTCACAAGGCTGAAGTGGAACTGCACGCGGCCGTTGGCGCGCGATTCAGTGAGGCTGTTAAAGCGGAGGACTTGGCGTCGATCGAGAGGTTTTTCAAGATATTCCCTCTGCTCAACCGACATGATGAGGGAGTGAAGAGGTTCGCCGAGTATCTCTGCAGTAAGGTGCGTAGTGGCGATGGGCGATTGGGGTAGATAAAAACCAATACAGCCGTGGGAGGGGAGTGACTATTGGGAGTTTCAGGGAGATACGTTTCCGAGAAGAAATATTTCGATTCGAAGCTAAATATGTAGCCATTAATCAAACTTTATGCTAGGCGTGACTTATACGCGTTTGTTCAATCCGAGATGCCTATATGTGACACTATGCAGTGGATGTAGATACATTTTTTTATGAATGCAGTTACCGTAATTGTTGTGCGACAATTATAACTTCAAATGCGTTTTTAATGCAATTCCATATCCACCCATACGATCATTCCTCCCTCAGCTGGAGGCCAGCGCTGCCAAAAACCTGCGTGAAGCCGAGCGGACGGGTCCGAGCGAGCCGCGCGCTGCCGTCATCTGGTCTGACACTGCCACACTGCTGTTCGAGGGCATCGCGCGACTGGTGGAGATCCACCAGCCCATCATAGAGACATTCTACGGTAGGGCATCGCGCTATCAAAGAGACATTCTACGGCAGGATATTGTGCCGTCATAGAGATATTGTGCGGTAGGATATCTCTTTATCAGATATCTTCTACGGTAGGACATTGTGCCGCATAGACACCCTTCTACTGCGAATGGAGACTAGGAGGAATGGCGGGGAAGAAGAGGGAGTGGGAGGGTGTCGGAGGGACGGTTGTGCTGTTCTCCATCCTTGCCTCCCAAACCTCACCTTCCCCTGACATCTCCGCCTTCCCCTGATCTCCTTCCCTTCCCCGCCCTTTCCTAACCTCCCCTGACCTCCCCTGACCTCCCCGTTTTTCTCTCCACAGGTCCTGGCTGGCTGATGGCCACCATCGAACTGCTGCAGGCCTCCTGTGACAAACAGGTCTCCAAGATCGTGGCCAGCTTCAACAAACACAGATCCATCGACGCAAAGGTCCGTGGCGCCCGCCAAATGCGCTCAGTGATTTCTGAAGAAAATGGACGTTCTTACGGTTTTTCTTGAATTGCATATTTTCCTACGACTATGTATGCTTAGTTTGCACCCTTCCCCTGCCTGCTTAGTACCCAGGCGACCTATATGCGGGAGAATCTGCGCAGTGCACACACATCTATCTGCGACCGGCCCCGTATAGGCTCTCTGTATGCTCCCCTCTACCGGTCACCAAGTTAATCCATGCTCGGAAATATATGCTCAGTATATTTATGTAATGTATCATCGAACCAACACACCCCTCTATTACTCCGTTTCCCGGCCTGCCCAGGTGGCCCGCGTCCGGGAGAGTCTGCGCGCGGTTCGCTCGGGTACCGCCGGATCGTCGGCCGGTACGCCCACCCTGGACCCGCGCGAGCTGGACCCGCTGCTGGCAGAGCTGACCATCCTGCACGCGCGCACAGAGCTATACGTGCGCTTTGTCCGGCGGCGAGTGATGGTGAGAAGGGTCGCACGGGTCGTACCGACGGCACCAGCCGCAGTCAGTCGCGGTGGGTTGTCTGGAACGGGACTGATAATGGGGAATATTGTGTCATCAACAGGTGGAATTTAGCATAAACAGCAGGAACAGGAGTAGTTGGACGGCAGCAGCTTTTGAAATGCTGTTTGAAATTGTATGTTTGCGAACCTTGTTAATTGATGGATGGAACATTTAATTACGCTAATCCGTTTTTCCTTACATATAATGAAAATTTGAACAAGCGTCCGAAATGTTATGCATCATTTTATCCGCATGATTTCTTTATCACGTCCAGAATGACATCGAGGTCGGCTTTTTCGACAACGAGCGGGCTGAAAAGACGGCGAAGCTGGAGAGCATCATCAAGGACAGCGATCTGAGCCGCTGCATGCAGGAGCTGGTCGGGCAGTATATCACTCTGGAGAGGTGAGGGCGCGAAAGGTGGAGTTTACACACATGATGGCTCCACTTTCTCAGTCATGCAATGTAGTTTGCGTCATCTTTTCGTTTCGTTGAAGCTACAAACATAAATCGTGCGGGTTTATACTTTTGACTAATGTTAATGAATGGCACTCCTTCTACCATGCGTTCTGAACTTAAGTGAAAAGTGGCAATACAGAGAGAATTATTTAAGCATTTAATCACAGCTGCTGTGATATTCCCGACTTATTGACGATTGACTGACCTTCCATTCACCTCCTCTTCAGTTACTACGTGACCGAGTGTATCAGCAAGGCGGTGAAGCTGGACACCATCGAGGAGGGATCACTCACCTCCAGCATGGTCGACGACGTCTTCTTCATCATCAAAAAGTGCATCAGGTGCGTGCAACGTAATCCAGCTGTAGCTGTGCCGACTGCGTGGATCGATTGATGCGGAGTATCGACTTGATACCGCCGTATAATTCAGCTTGGCTCAATTTTATTGCAGGTGCTCTCGGGTTTTCTAAACTTTCTCGTATGCAAAAGTTTCCTGTTGATCGATAGAACTTATTTCTGCCTAACACAATTAAGTAAGCAAAACCTCCATATAGTATGTTAGTTCTTCGGCTCAGTTGGGCTATCGGTGGCCATACAATCTGCTCTTCTCACCATACGTCAGCTCTGAGACAGTATGTCAACCGACCCCTCCCCTCTAGCTACGGCTCAGACGGGTTCCGTCAAGGTCAGTATGAAATGTCAGCTAACGTCCCCTTCTCTTTCCTCCTTTTGTGGTGCAGGCGCGCCCTGTAGGCAGTATGGAGTGTCAACTGGCCCCTTCCCCTTCCTCGTTGTAGGCGTGCCCTCTCGGGCGGCAGCGTGGACGGCACGTGCGCCATGATCAACATCGCCTCCACACTGCTGGAGACGGAGTTCTGCTCTGTTCTGGAGCGACACCTGCGTCAGGGCTTCCCGTCCGGTTACCTGGACCTGAGTCAGGCATACAGCGTGCTCCAAACCAGCCTGCAGCAGGGCAAACTGCACACCACCGACACGGATGCGCAGAAAACGCAGTTCCTGGTGGGTGCCCTGGAGCCGAGGGTGGCTTTTTATTGCGAGGTATCTTATGGCAATAAGTGCACGTAAGGGAGTGCTGGAGCCCGGTTAGTGGTTACTACCTCTGGTTTTGATACGGAGCATAACGATGCATTTTTGTTTGAGAAGGTCGAAAAGGGGCATCGGTGCTACCTAAGATCCTTCACCTATGCAATCTGCGTAATATGGTAATCGCTCGTCCAGTATTGAACTTTCTTGACCGTTGCAATGGGCACATTCTTCCACTCGGCACGCCATGAATCCTCAAGCAACCAATCTGACCATACAGTTCATTTAGTCTCAGAATCTGTATAACACCCGAAATCTCGGCGCTGCTGACCCCCTCCCCCCCCCAGACGGCGCTGAATAACGCGCGCGCCAGTCAGGAGTACGTCTCGTCTCTCTGCACCACACTGCGCCAGGAGGTAGCCGCCCAGCTGACAGGCAGCTCCAGCCACGAGCGGGACAAACTCGAGTCGTGCGTGGCGGGACTGCAGGCGGTGTCCTCTCGGTTCGCCACCCTGGCCGAGGTCGGACTCAAACAGCTGCTCTCCAGCGCCATCAAGCCGCGGGTGAAGCCCTGGGTGGACGGATTCACGGCCGTCAGCCATGATATCACAGAGGTCAGTGCTAATGGGAGTCGTCAGCCATGAATTATCACAGAGGTCAGTGTTAGTGGGGTCGTCAACTACCTGTGTCACTTCAACTGACAAGGGTCAGTGGGACCTTCAGTTATGACATCACAGAGTCAGTAGAGGGGCCGTCAGACATGTCAAGAATGTCAGTGTGGCCCTCAGTATTCAGTAAATTACGTAGGTCAGCTGTGGTTGTGGGGCTGTTGCTGACATACGGATGACTACAACGCGTATGCGAGTTTAGTAACACTCCTCCCCTTCAGGACAGATTCTTATAATACTAATTCGCCGACCCAGCACTCTCATATTATCCCTTTGCAGGACGAGCTCTCGCAGTACGAGGCCTGCTCATGATTTTCCTGTCGCCTAGGATGAGTTCTTGCAGTGCTCGACCGCGGGCCCGCTCATAATTCTCACCCCCCCCCCGGCCCCCCTTCCCTTCAGGACGAGTTTTCTCAGTACGAGGCGGACGACCCGTTCGTGAACCAGCTGGTGGTGCGTGTGGACGGCCTGCTGGCCTCCTTCCGGGACACCCTGCTGCCCGCCTCCAGCCAGGCGCTGGTGCGAGCTGTCATTGAGGAGGTGGCCGCGCAGCTGGAGAAGAACATCATGAAGTCGCGCTTCAACCGGGTTAGTGAAGGGGGAGGGAGGGGAGAGAGAGAGAGAGAGAGAGAGAGAGAGAGAGAGAGAGAGAGAGAGAGAGAGAGAGAGAGGGGGGGGAAGTGGCAGAGCGGCGGAGGGAACGGAGGGTAGCCGGGGAGCAGTTGCCTGAGTGGTAGGGGCGGGGACTGGGGAGAGCCACGGGGTTGGTGAAGGCTTCTTGTACACTGATTCATCGCAGACATGTGTCGGTTTGGTGTCAGTGTCGTGTCAGATCGTATCATGTCAAGTTATTGTGTGGATTATCAGTTAGGCACTTCTGTCACTCACCTCTGTCAGGGACTTGCGTCATTCACCACGTCTGCCAGTGACCTGTGCTGTGTGTATCAGTAACGGTGACCACTGACCTCCCCCGTTCCACCCAGCTGGGCGGCCTGCAGCTGGACAAGGAGGTACGCACGCTGACCGCCTACCTGGCCTCGGTGACCACCTGGTCCGAGCGGGACCGGATGGCGCGGCTATCCCAGATCGCCACTCTGCTCAACATGGAGGAGGTGAGACGCCATCTTTACTAGCGTGTGTAGTAACTGACTGGTGTGCATTGGGCTACCTTCTCTAGCCTGTAAGGATTTTCTGCTCTTTATAAGCCGAGCTGCGGGGTTCAATGGCCGTCACTGATCGGGAGACCGTACCGACCATCAGGCGATCCCAGTCGACTGGCGACAGGCGACTGGCGATCCCAGATGGCGATCCCAGTCGTCTGGGTTACGGCGCACTCTCTTCACCCTTACGTGAGGAGTGCTGGCGGTATACTAAGCACCGGGCGTGAATTAGATCTACCATGGTGAGCCTCTCGCCCTCTGCCTGGCCTCTGCTCACCTCATGCTGGTTTACGGCCCCTTGGCCCACTCAGCTGGGTGACATGAGCTATGACCATTTTAACGAGCCATCGTCACCGTTTTAACTAGCAATATCGGTAATGTGAAGGTTGCTTTAAAAGCCAGTCGTCCCGACTCAGTCCTAGCCGACAGCTAGATGAACTCATTCTGAGACATCGGTGTTAAGCTTTGCAGCGAAGTTTCCATTACGCACCGCGGCTTCTTGTGCTAAGTAAATCTCAATGTCGAATTGAAAGTGAAACGGAGACCTTGGCTGCTTCTTATTGTTCATTTTGTATGAACAATAGCAATTTGCTACATGAATTGGATGTATTGGACTGCGTTTGCATTTTGCATTTAGCAGTGTTTTTATGTATGGGTCCAGAACAGGTAGGTAGATTCACGAGGACACGTACCTCCTCCGTAACCTGGTTGGGGGTATCTGGGTCTGCATATTCGCTTTATCATGCTTGCAGGTTTCTACTTACGCAACACTGCGGCAGGATGACCTGTGGGTCCCGATGGCTTCTGCAGTCCAGACGTCCAAAATCTTCAACTCATCATCGTCATCATCCACTTTGCAGCTGATCATATTTTATTCTTGCCCTAATTCCTCATAGGTTCCACTGTTCCACCACTCCTTTCGATGTTTTTTATTACACTCCATCGCATGTGCTCTAGTCGCCTCCGCTCTCACGTCCGCCTTCGGTCGGCAGGTGTCTGAAATCAGCGACTACTGGGGCGTCTCCTCCACCATGACTTGGAAGCTCAGCTCTGCAGAGGCGCGGAAGGTCATGCTACTCAGAGTCGACTTTAAACCGGAGGACGTTAAGAGGCTGAAGTTGTGAGAAATGACGTTGAAGTCGGTGTTGGCTGCGAGAGGAGAAAGCCGGAATCGATAAATTCCGGTATACGTTCATACAGCTCTCCGTGCTGGTGATAAGGAAGGCGGAAGTTTAGGCTCATTCCAATTAAATGGCGAAGCACGGGTGTGGGTGACCCGCACTGTTTGTGTTCGTGTGTGGAGTGGCGGGATTGATCGCTTGACGTGCTGCTCGTTGAACGCCCGCAACGTCTTATTATTAACTTATCGGGAGATGTTGATTGACATGCTATGCTGTTGTTAAAGGTTTGTGACGGTTGTATAAATATATTGTTACTTTATTTGTATTATGTTTCCCTCTGGGAAGATTTTTGTCAGTAGCCTTGGATGGATGGAACAAATTAGCAAGTTTTATCATCGGCACGGTGCTGAAAATTTGTACATTTTTCTACTGTGTTGTACGTGTTTTGTGCGCTCCCTGCCAGCCCTGCCAGGCCGGGCGCCGTTCACAGTAGACTGAAACCCACCACGAGCTCAGGACGAGCTGGGGGATATCTCATATACATAATATTCAAATTGAGCCGCCAACCTACGTCCGCACCGCCCATCGGAGCAATATCAAATGGAGTTGATGGTTGTCCTAGAATTGATGAAAATTTGCGATTGAGCTCATTCCTCCCGTCACTGAAGTCCCCGTCAGCACAAGACAATCACATCGTTCACGAATAAGTGAGCCTTGGGTTCCAAGATACCCACCAGCTGAAAGCCCTAATGCAACATTCACGTGGTTACGTTGCGGCTGGTGCAAAGCAAAATGTGCGCTCAAGTGTGCGCTGTCCGTTCCCGACAATCGAACGCTCTGTATGTGGACTTTGTCCTCTCGCAAGATATCGGATCTATTCGTGTGCCTCGTCTCTGCAGGATCCGTTGCACCATTAATCCGTCAGGTTTCGGCGGCGACCGGCTAGCCGAGTTTTATATCACTGTTGCGAAGCTTACTTCTGTGCTCCTAAACCTGCTGAACTGGTAGGCGTTATCAGTGGAACTCAATCCGTCTCATTTTACGCATCTACTCCCCAGATTCGCTGCCACTGCCTCCGCTGTCCGGAGCTTCTTGGAGCGAGAACTTATAAATTTGCGACCATATTGCTGGATACGTGATCATTGCACTGGTGTGTAATGACATGTTAACTCTCTGGGGTCTGTTGGTTGTTAATGCCTCCATAAGCATCGTTTTTCTAAATGTTCTGCTTGTTTTTTTTTATAGGAACCACAATGGCCTACCAATTGACGTCCTCATCCTCACTGTCGTCATCACATAGGTGCACAGGATCCCTCGTATGATCAATTATATGACATGGTCAATGATGTGATTAAAGAATATGCAATTTTTATTGAGCTATCAAAGTGGGAGCGACAAATACAATTGGATGCATCGAATATGATACGGCTGACGTAGACAGACGACAACCCCTTTCTGGACGACGGTGCACGGAGGTGCGCACGCCTTACATCATACCTCCTCACACAATCCACAAAAAGCATAGCTCACTTGACACTTTGACATGACTTCAACTCACGATATACTCTTCTACACGACACCAAAGCTCGTCGTTTGACAGCGCCTCTATCAGCGAAATGAAGTCGAACCGTCTCTCCCGCCTCACTACTCCTGGGTCTCCTCGAACATGCAGAGGTCGACCTGGTGGTTGACGAGCGACTGCTGCTTCTGGTGCTGGTACAGGTGCAGCTCCAGCGCCGCCAGCAGCTGCAGGTAGCGGTCCTGTCCGGCAGCGCCCGCGCCGCTCAGCTCGCTGTAGTAGGCAGACGTGGCCCGTCGCGACTGTTTGTCCTTCGTCTCGCCCTCGGCCGCCTCCCAGTCGCTGTCCGCGTCCGAGTCGTGCATGTCGCGCATCAGCGTGGCGTGCCGGGCGCGCTTCCGCTCCTGCGTGGAGATCTCGAGCGTCAGTTGGAAGTTGTCCAGCAGGACAGCCACGAAGAGGTTGAGGAAGACAAAGTACTCGACGACGATGTAGAAGAAGAGGTAGAAGAAGAGGGCCGTGTCGGAGCCGTTCTCGGTGTAGATGAAGAACCAGTCGTCGAGCGTCAGCAGCTGGAACAGGGTGAGGAAGGTGGCCCACAGACTGCCGAAGCGCCGGTGGTCGATGGACTCGAACAGCGACTTGCCCATCACGGAGAACATGTACATGACGACCGCCATCAGCACGACGATGGAGCCGATGGACTGGATCGACTCGAACATGGTGGTCAGGATGACGTTCAGCGAGCTCAGGAAGCGGATCGTGCGCAGCACGCGCAGTGCTCGCAGCGCGCGGATCGCCTTGAAGATGCGGAACAGCCTGAGGATGCCCATGCCGCCGATGTCGCCAGTTTCCAGAAGCAAGGGTAGCACGAACTCGGCCAAGTTGTTGACGATGATGAAGAAATCGAGGCAGTTCCAGAAAGTGTAGAAGTAGTACTGCTTGTAGGCGATGAGCTTCATCGTCGCCTCCGTGAGGTAGATGCCGAGAAAGACGTTCTCGATGACGACCATGTAGATGCCGGAGTTGATGCTGATATACTTGAAGCACTTCAGAATCAGCGTCACTGTGTTTAGCAAGATGATCACCAGGATAAATGTGGAGAAGAAGCGCGACTCGACAAACTCGTAGGCGGCGCAGCGGAACGGCATGGCACCGACGAGGATGCGCGCCTCCAGCTTGTGACCTCCGTGACGCGGCATCTCCGCGACGCTGCGCTCCACCTGCAGTGTGCGCTCGGACGCGTCCTCGACCACCTGCCGCAGCGGCGTGCTCTTCTGACCGGCCACGGCCAGCGTCTCCAGTACGGCCGACATGCGCCGGAAGTCGGAGACCTTGCCGATCAGCGTCCGCGAGCTGTTCGCGTCCGGGTTACCCAGCAGCGCCGCACTCTGGTGGTCGTTGGTTGACGATCCCATGCGCTCTGGCTGTTTTTCCTGGGATGTGGACGGCCCCGGTGACGCCATGGCGTTGCCTATAGGGGGAAATATGGTGACCTAGAAGATGGGGTGATATGGCTAAATACTAAGGCACGCCCTGCTCGCCACAATTTATTACTCCTAAATGATGTAGGCACAATGAACCATCCAAAACGCAGCTTTCCGGTTTTACTCTGATTGCATGACCATTGACTCATCCTGTCTTTAGCCAAAGAGGGCTGAAATCAAGCTAAAATCGGTTCCAGGGGGCGTCGAAGTCTAGTTCCTACCAACCTGGCACTCCCATGCCTACGTCACCACGAGGACGCCCGAGGGCATTTACATGTTGAAGATAGGGAAATTGCCATAGTTTAGAGCCGCCTGAAGGGCAGCCTTGAGATAAATGATCATGTAAATGTGTGCTACTATGATCATCATCATGTTATTTATCCAAATCCAGGGCCAATTAATGGATAACTTGTCACGTTTTCCAGTAGTGATGCGCTAACTTTCGTGGTTCTTGCAGCCAATAAGGGTGTTTCATAGTGTGATTCAGCCGCATTATCGACCTTAATGCCATAAACCGCCACGGAAAATACGATTTGCAGCTTCCTGGCGTGATAGCTGCCAGTAGGGCTCCGGAGTCGGAGTCATGAAGTCGGCCGGAATTGACAGTTCTGACCTGAGTCGTCGAGTCAGAGTCAGAGTCGATTTTAAAAGCTGGAATCTGAGTCAGTCACCGAAATTCGATCCCCTCCGCAGACCTTTCAGGGTTCCGTAGTCGGAGTTGTAGTCGGTCGGAGTCGACAGTTCTGACCTGAGTCGTCGAGTCAGAGTCAGAGTCGATTTTTAAAGCTGGAGTCTGAGTCAGTCACCGAAATTCGATCCCCTCCGCAGACCTTTCAGGGTTCCGTAGTCGGAGTTGTAGTCGATCGGAGTCGACAGTTCTGACCAGAGTCTGAGTCAGAGTCGATTTTGAAAGCCAGAGTCGGAGTCGGAGTCACCAAAAATCCATTGGCTCCGCAGACCTGCTAGGGCTGTGAAGTGTGGAGTCGGAGTCGGTCAGAGCCGACATTTGAAATCAAAGTCAGTTGATTTTTGAAAGTCTGAGTCAGAGTCGGAGTCATCAAGAAACCCATTGACGATCCGCAGTACCATGCAGTAAGGGCGCTGCCGATCGATGCCCTGAATTGCCTATGAATTGAATGAATAGATGACAATTAATTAGGTAGGTACCTTCTATTATTCATCCCCTGCCACTTGGAGGACTTACTTTCAGTAGAAAAAAAAACGCATTATTGTTTGATTGTTTATTTATTGACTTTTTAAGTAGTTTATAGGGATACAGACACAAAACACAATGATAGCACCTCGCTGGTGCAAATCATTGCTAGATAGATGTTGAAATGTGTTGCCATTGAAGAATCTACTGATTTTCCTGGCGGCTCTCATTTTCAAGCAACTACTGGTCTTGTAAGATCTCTTGATTGCTCACCGTCTGGCGTCTTCCAAGGTTTTCTGAAAGCTAATCAAACGTTACCATGGCTGCTCTTGATTGCATGGCGCCTGCTGGTTCTGGGTTCTTAATTGGTGGTTCTTGCGTCTGATCCTGTTGCTTCATGTTCCATCACATCACATTAAACTTCTAATCTAATGGAACAGCCACTTTTACCTTTTATTTCACTATCAGTCGACTTGCATTTACCCCTGGCCTGCTCGCCCTTTTATTTCCACGCTAGAATCTACCAATTATTGAAAAAGCCTCGGATGAAGAAGCAAGAAAAGTATGTCAAGTTAAATAATTGAGACGGTCCTAGAACACCAGAAAAAAAAAAATCAAAAAGCCTGTCCATCTCACTTCCCTCATTTCATAACAAAAACCAGGCAGCAAAACATGCGAAAGAGTCCTTAGCAACGCCCTAGCAACGTATTTGTCTGAAGTGCGCGATATGTGTCACATCTGGAAAATTTAGTAGGTACTTGATTATTAACTAGAGTTGGGCTATATAAGCTAGGCTTTTATATAAAAAAATAAGTATTTGCTTATTGAATTTATAGCAACTGGTCGCTTAGCTTTGTAATAATGATTGACTACAGAAAAAGCTTGTTTGCGACATATTTGTAAAGAAACAGCGGAAATAGCTTTGACTCGTGCGCTTTTCTAGTACATTTTTGGTAGAAAACTTCGTCCAACCTTATGTTTTAGGGCCTTGATCGGTTCGAAAAAGAGTTGAGCTGAATTTGTTTGTATCCGAAGAGCTGCAGGTGACTTCCGCAATAAACGCTCCTCCAATGAATGTCATGCAAACGGTAAATGTGCTTCTGTCGCATAATCCATCCGAAGCCTGCTAAAATCGATCGGTTCACAGCCGAACGTGAATATAAAAAAGGGGACTTTTTCTTCTCTAAATTGACTTCTGAGCCACGAAGCGACAAACGGCATAGGCGGCGGAACGGGGGGGGGGGGGGGCACCGGGGCACCGTGCATCCCCTTTGATTTTGGCATTTTAACATTAGCCCTATGGCGTTGCATGGAAAGAATGGGACCAAAAGTCGGCAGTGCCCCCCCCCCCTTAATTGAAGGTGTTCCGCCGCTACTGACAAACGGCGATCAGAAGGCTGTCAGAAATCATGAAACAAATGTTTCAGTAATTTCTTGGGCCAGGTCCAAAGCTCAGTCAGATCACAAGAGCTCATCGAAGGTCAAATTTTCCCGATTGAACCTTTTTAACTCGTAAACCAATTCAGTTGCAAAATCGTGGAACTGCTGACATGACATGAATGACATATCTTTATGACATCCGCTGACATATCCTCTGCTTTGACCTAAGGTGACCTAAGTATTTAACAATAGGGCAATGTCTTATAGGAGGTCTTACAGTGCAGTATCTTATAAGGGCCTTGTCCTGTAGGAACCATTCGGTTGTCGCTAGTCACAGCGAACTATTTTTTCGGGAACCGTCTTCCAGTCAACGCATGATAAATCGGTATTAGTAAGCCTGGCGTCCCAGGAAGATGCCAGATTGGGACGATGGAGATATATAGACCAAAAACAAACCTAGCCTAACCTGACCTAACCTTACCTACAACCTACAACCTACAAACCTACAACCTACCCTACAAACCTACAAACCTACCCTACAAACCTACAAACCTACACCTACAATGGTATCTGGCATCTTCCTGGGACGCCAGGCTTACTTATACCGATAAATCAATCTGAAATAATCTTACCTAGGTACTGTCAGTCCTGCAGTTGAGTACGGTCGAGAGTCGAGGGAATTTCACCACTCCACTCATGACGAGTGAAGATTAGCTGTTCAAGTTAAACCGGGACGAAATTACGCTTTGGCGGTTATAATTATTCGTTTTATCGGTTTCAATGCCCGTACATTTACCCATAGATTTGGTCTGTTTTATCAATTTGTGATAGTTTACTATTTACTTCTTTTTTTAGGATCTAAGCTAGACGCTCACTAAACATGACTGCTCTTTATGTTATAAGGGGGTAAACACTGATCAATGTGACCCCCCTCCCCCCACACACACACCGCCATGTGTCGCCTGTCGGCGCCATCTGACCCGCCGGCGCACCTGTTGGGTCGGCGCGTGCGGCCCCGTCGGTGCTGTCGGGGTCGACGGGTCGTCCGCCGGTGCCGACGGCCGTCCGTCAGTCGGTGCGTGGGCCGGTCGGTGATTTGGTGCGCCCGGGCGGGGCGGCAGTGGTGCGGAGGGGTCTGGGCTGGGAGGTCGGTGAGCCGCCCTGAGGGAGGCAGAGTTGTCGACCGACACGTCGTCATGGCAGTCGTCCTACCCGACCTCAGCGAAAGTAAGAACCACCGCCGGTAGCGCGGGAATCTGACAGAGGTCAGAGCCTACCGAGCCCGGCTTTATTGGACCGTGATAATTCAGGGTTGACATGTGGGGAGGATTGTGCTGTTTTCTTGAGTTTCAAGATGTATTGCATTAAATCATCTTGAACCAAATTAGTTACGAAGTCCAAAACATATGCTAATTGAAGCGGGGAAAAAGTGAGGAATAAAAATGAAATAAGATATTAGGTAGGTACTATGAAATTTAAGGAAAAATTATTTCCCCTTAATTAGCCTGATTTTTAATGAAGCTAGCACAGTGAGCATTTACAACTGTACTTGTAGGGGTGAAACCTTTACCTAAGTAGGTGTTATGGCGATTAGCTAGTTAACGCTTTTATTTACGATTAGCAAAAGAAGTTATGCTTCTCAACCTACAGGGTGGACCAAAAAGGATGGAAACATTTTAAACTCGTATAAAACATGCATAATTGCATGCATGTGACTGGGAATGATACCAAACAAGAGTACATTTCGTGGAAATTCATAATGGCATCACTCTCATATGCTTTCTCCCGTTTTCAGTCTCTCACAGCAGATGTTCGTTGTGACCACCTTCGCGAGATAGGCACAGAGCGACCAGCCTGGCTGCTGACACGATAGCCCGCTTGTATGGCTCACACAGCCTTGCTGATCGCTCTCTTCAGTTCAGAGGCTTTCTAGACCTTCCTTGTAAGTTGTAGACCTGGCCCTTGAGATGACCCCACAGTAAAACATCCATAGGGGTCAGGTCGGATGAGCAGGTAGGCCAGTTCTGACTGGCACCGCGGGTTATCAGCCGGTCACCGAAGTGGTTTTCGATGCACTTGAGCGTTGTTTTTGCGATGTGAGGAGGCGCACCGTCTTGCTGGAACCACATATGGTCTTTGATGGGGCTGCCATGCTTCGTTTGGACTCGCTCTCAGAACTTCCTAAGCGCCGCCTGGTATGCGCTGTTGATTGGCGGTCACGGTGTTGCCGCTCCCTTCCTCGAACCAAAGTGGACCCACGATTCCTTTTCCGCTGAGGGCACACCATTTCGGTGACCTTGCTGCTGTGCAGTGACTTCTTGATCATCTCATCTCAAGGGCCAGGTCTACAAGGAAGGTCTCTGTGACCTGAAGAGAGCGATCACCAAGACTGTGTCAGCCATACCAGCGAACATGTGTCGTCGGGCTATCGCGCCAGCCACCAGAC